AATACCAATTTTATGTAAATTACAATATTTGATTTTGAATCAATGATTTTAATACCTTATATTAGTTATTTGGGAAGAAAAAAATTAGCAGAAAATATTGAACCTTGGATTGATGAATCAAAATATTTAGTACAAGCTGCTTATAGTTATTGGACATTAGGATATATTTTATCTGCAAGTGGTGCAAGGAAATTAATTGAAGCAATGCCATTAAAGCAATTGATACCTGTTGATGAATATCTTCCTATATTATCTGATGTTCATCCTAGGTAAATAAAAATTTAATAAAATACCTTTTATTATTTATTTATTATTTGCAATTTTCAAAATATATTTTTATTTATTTTTTAACTTTAATTGCAATATATATATTAAAACTATTTTTTTATATAGGAAAGATTGGAAAATATACTATCCAAAACGAAATTTAGTTATACTTTCTGCAAATCCTCTATTAATTTATCCAACACATTATACAGGTGAACAAGGATATGTAAGTGATACGGAAAATTCTACAATTATATTCGATCATCAAAATATAAATAAATCAAAACGAGAAGATTTATGAATAAAGATAAAGTGCCATAAACAAATGATAATGATGCTATAAAAAATATATTTGTCAATTTAAATTTTTTCTTTAATGGAAGAATTTACTTTCCATGACAACATTTATAATCATTTACATATTATATTAAAAAATATACCATATCATTTTATTAAAAATTTCAAATCATTATTAAAATCATTATTAAAAATTTTAATAATCTTTTAAATTTTTGTATTTAATTTAAATGATATTTTGTATTTTATTTAATTTGTTTTAATATATATGTATTATATACTATATGCAGTATAAATGTATGCATTTACATTTTTTATATGTTTATACTATAAAAAAATTTAAATTTTATCTATAGTAATGAATATTTTAATAATGAATGTTTTTTTAAATAATTATAATAAATTAACCATAATCATTATAGGATAATAAGCAATTTAAAACATAATACAATTAAAAATAAAATGAAATCCAATTTCATTTAAATGAAATTCAAATAAACAATCTATATATTAAGACAAAATTTAAATTGTGTTGAGATTGAAATTTGATTTAAAATAAAATTAAATTTTGAGTTGATGATTAATTATATTTGATATTTATAAATTCTAATCAAATGCTATTAAAAAATAAGATATTGTTCAAAAATAAAGTTTGATGTTTATTATATATGTGTCTATGTTTTTAAATAATTTTTTTTTTAAAAATACGAAATTATTGTTCAATAAAATATTCAATTTATTTTATATTTCAGATGTACTTATTCATTTTTAAAAAATGTAATTTTATTTAAAAAATGATTAACAATTTTTTTAATATAAACAATATAACCTCATATTTACCCGAAATTTATATATATACTTTATTATTTCAAATATTATTTAATTTATTACTTACATATAATTACATATAATTCATAAGATAATATTTAAATTAAACATTTTTTAAAACCAATAAACTAACACTACATCGTTATATTAATTATAACGTAATTATAACTACATGATACGCAATATTTATAAAGTTTGTATGTAAATAAATTTTATCAAATTTTTTAAATATTTTTTTTAAACGATCATTCTTAATTTAAAATTCTCTTTATATAATATTTTAAATTTAAATTTAAATTAATGAAATATTATTTAATAAATATTCAATTAAATTAATTATTAATTAATATTGATGAAATTCAAAAAATTATATTTATTAATTATATTTATAGAATAGATGTGATTTATAATAATATAAAATGTGATTTAATGACACATGTTATTTTACAAGTGAAACAAATATTTAAATAATATGAATCAATTTAAAATTATTTATTTTTATTCTGTTTTTTCTTAATATTCAAATAAATTTGATTAATTGTATTTGAGAGCATGTTTTAATAATAATAATGTTTCAAACTCCATAAATATATATAAATATAAATATTTATATAAATCATTACATGATTGACAATTATAATATATAATCATGATAATTAATCAATATAATTTATATTATAATTATATTTTATATAATATTAATAATTAAATAATATTAATAATATTAATAATTTATATTATAATTTATATAATTTTTTTCAAAATTTTTTATACTTTACTTTGGTATTATGCAATTCATATTTGCCGCGCAAGATTTCACACTGCGGAATCACAAAACTCTGAATTTCTATTTTTGACATCATGAAAAATTTCGTTCAATGGACATGCTGCTTAAAGTGCGCTTCTGCTTTATCTTCAAAGCGAGGTGTGGTTAATTGGAGCGGATGAGCATTAAATTTGAGCTGTAATTAAGATATATTTCTTTTAAATAAAGATAAAAGCAAAAACTAATAAGAACGAAAAATACACGATGCTTGGTCGTCTTCCTGCATGTGTGATCGATGTGGGTACGGGGTAAGAAATTAAAAAAATTATATTTGACTAGAATAGATAGATTAAAATGTGATTTAATGACACATGTCATTTTACAAGTGAAATAAATATCTAAATAATATGAATCAATTTAAAATTATTTATTTTTATTCTGTTTTTTCTTAATATTCAAATAAATGTTAATAATTTAAATTTGTTTATTATATATATATATATTTAAAAAATAATAAAATTATGTTAGTAAATATTTCAAATAAACTTTTAAACTGAATAACTAAATAAATAGTAGTAATACATTAATAGTAAAATTATTATAGACATCTTTATTATTTGTTTTATTAAAAAAATTCCTTATGATTATTTGTGAGTTTACAGATATACAAAGCTAGGCTTTGCAGGCAATAAAGAACCTCAACTTATAATTCCATCTGCAATTGCTATTAAAGAAACTGCAAAAGTTGGAGATAACAATGCTAGAAGAGTTACTAAAGGAGTTGAAGATCTGGATGCTTATATTGGAGATGAAGCTTTTGAAGCTACTGGCTACTCTGTAAAAGTATGTTACATATTATAAATTAATATTTTCATTGAAACATATAATGTTTTTTAAATAATTCTATAATTTATATTCAATTTTATTCAGTATCCAGTTAGACATGGATTAGTAGAAGACTGGGATTTAATGGAAAAATTCCTGCAGCAATGTATTTTTAAATATCTAAGAGCAGAACCTGAAGATCATTATTTTTTACTTACGGAACCACCATTAAACACTCCTGAAAATCGTGAATATACTGCAGAAATAATGTTCGAGTCATTTAATGTACCAGGTCTTTATATTGCTGTACAAGCAGTATTAGCATTAGCTGCTTCTTGGACAGCTAAAACAATAGAGGATAGAACATTGACAGGTGTGGTTGTTGATAGTGGAGATGGAGTTACACATGTAATACCAGTGGTATGTTTAAAAAAAGAGAAATATGAAATATATATAAATATAGTGTAAATATGTGAAATATAAATTCACATATAAATATATAACAAAAATACACAAAAAAATATTTTGTAATTAACCAATTTATTCTATTGCTCAGGCAGAAGGTTTTGTTATAGGAAGTTGTATAAAACATATTCCTATTGCTGGTCGCGATATTACATATTTTATTCAAAGTTTATTACGAGAACGTGAAATTGGAATACCACCTGAACAATCATTAGAAACAGCTAAGGCAATAAAAGAAAAATATTGTTACATATGTCCTGATATTTCAAAAGAATTTGCTAAGTATGATAGTGATCCTACTAAAATAAAAAAATATGAAGGTGTGAACAGTATTACAAAACAACCATTTGTAGTGGATGTTGGATATGAAAGGTTTCTAGGACCAGAAATATTCTTCCATCCTGAAGTATATTTATTTAAATTTAAGTGTATAATAAAATAAAAAAAGAAGCATAATCATATTTCTAATTTTATTATCTCTTTTTTATTTTTTAGTTTTCTAATCCAGATTTCACGACACCATTAAGTGAAATTGTAGATGATGTAATTCAAAATTGTCCAATAGATGTTAGAAGACCATTATATAGCAATATTGTATTATCAGGTGGTTCTACAATGTTCAAAGATTTTGGTAGACGATTGCAACGTGATATAAAACGAATTGTTGATGCACGGCTCAAACTTAGTGAAACATTAAGTGGAAGTCTTATTACGGTATATATTTTATATATTTTAATAAAAAAAAAAGTAATATCAATATTTATGTTTCATTTTATTTTAGCCAAAGCCTATAGATGTCCATGTTATATCACACCACAAACAACGTTGGGCAGTATGGTATGGTGGTGCTTTATTGGCTAGTGATCCAGAATTTTATACAGTCTGTCATACTAAAAAAGCTTATCAAGAATATGGTCCCGGAATTTGTCGCTATAATCCCGTATTTCACAGTATGGTGTAAAATAAATAAGAATACAAATGACGTTATTATGGACCAATGGTCTCTGAATTTTAAATATTTTGTTAATAAGTTGATCGATTTCTACTTTTTTTATCTTTGATGATATATTTTCTTATATAGTATTTCTATCATAATTATTATTACTAATTGTAATAAAATTACTGAAATACGCCAATATCACACTAGTAAACGCACACAAAAAAGAAGTTTTATGCTCATCAATTATTATATTGATATATGCCAATATTCATATGTCATAAAAATACAGAAAATTATTTAAAAAAATAAAGGTCACACTGCATTAGAAGCAATGATTAAGAATAGTCGATAAAATTATAATACAAAATGATTGTATAGATTTGTATATAAAATAAGTCTATTTGAAAATAATAATTCTTTTTTAATGAATCATATTTATGAAATGTATATTTTACATTGTTCTATATAATACATTTAAGATACTAATAAAAAAAAAAACTATAATTCAAAAATAACATTTTAATACAAATATTGAAACAATATAGTTTATTTATTAGTTATAGTATATGTATGTGGGTATGTATATATATATATATATGTATATATTATAAATTACATATATACATATATATATACATACATATATACACATATATATATTATTTTATGTATCTACAATTTTTCACAATTTGAGTTGATAATTGCACCAAAAACTTCAAAAAATTATAATAAGAAGTACAAGATGATACAAACAATGAATGTGTACAACTTCATATCACACATGAATATACGTATATAATCAGGGTATATAAAGTTTCATGTACATATAATAAATTATTATGTAATCACAATAATGATGATAATGGTAGTGATAATAGTAAGAATAATAATAAAAAAAAGAATTATAATTTTATAATTTTCATTAAACATTAGATATATTACCTGGCATAAAATATACATTATTTTCATAAAAATAGTAATTGTTTTAAAAATATTTATACACCTGATTTCATTTTAGTTCGTTTAATAAACAAAGTATTCTGAACTTTGAATTGTTATTTTATGATGTAATCAGTAATCAATAGTAGTAATTAATTAACATTATGTTTGTTCGTTGTTATCATAGCTAAAAAATTTCACATACAAATATTATGTTATATATATAATAATTGTTTATTTATTAATTTTACATTATTGCTGCTATTATTATTATTACTATTATTATTATTATATACTCACAGTAAATTTAATCCTTCCAGAGCATTTGCAACATCTCCACTAATATCTTCAAACAAGGATGAAAAAAAGAGAGACAAAAGATTAGAATTAGTTCTAGTTGTGCTTGTATTTGTAGTAGGTCGTTTGTAAATATCAATACTATCCACTGGTGGTAAAGGATCATGTGAAAGAACAGAACCATCATTTTGTACCTAAAATTTCATGAGATTTCATTTTAGTATAATATAGATAAAAAGATTTGGAAAGTACAATATAAAAGTTTTTGTACCTCTTGCACGTTTACAGTAATATCTTTTATATCAGACAATATAATATGTCGTAAAATATTTCTTGGTAGTTTTCCTTGGTAACGTTTGCTTCGCTTTATTTCACAATACTTTACATAATCATCTTTTGAATCAACGCGATTTAGTACAATATGTACATTTTCACATAACCATGGTAAAAGATCTGTTTCTTTCCACAGACGAAAGTTACGTACAACATATAAATTTTGTAATTTTTCTAATGCTGGTGAAGTTGAAGTTACTGCCTTAGTATTAAAGAAATTATGAGTTTGTACCTATAAAACATTTTTTACTTAATAATTTTTCAATTTTATATAAAAATTTATTAAAAACTTTTTAATTAGTATATATAATATATATCAAATTACCATTTTATCAGATTGTATACTACATTTTTCTAGTAATGGTATTAATACACCCGGAAACATTATTAAAGCATTTTGTAAAAGTTCATTAGCAGAAGATGTATTGCCTAAATGAAAATGAGCTAAAGCTAAACTGAATGCTATATTTGGCAATTGAGTTAAATTTCTTGTATTATCCCAAAGATTGCAAAATTCAATAAACCATTCATATTCTTTTGCTCTTAAAGCATAGAAATCAAGGGAAAGAATCACAGCTAATGGGTCACCTTCTGGATCAAGTGATAAAAGTAATTTACAAAATTCCAAACTTGTTCTGAAATGTGAATAAGTTTGAAAAAAATTTAAAAAAGCATTAAAATTTTATTTCTTACCTGTAACATGCACGACCACCAACAAAATTAAGATGTTTAAATAAAGTTATAAATAAAGCACGATTTTGTTGTTTTTTATAGTCTAATCTGCAAAGGGCAGTTGTAAAGTTAAACAGCGGATGAAAAGCACATTCTAAACAATATAAAGCTCTTTCTGTAAATTCTGCAGCCATTGCTAAATCTTCGTTGAGTTTACAAAGTTCAGCTAATTGTAATAATGCATCAACATGATAAGAATGTGCATTGATTATACTCTAAAAGAAAATATCAAATTTCAATTCTTTTATATATTATTTTTTGATATTTAAATTAATACATTTAAAATAATATAAATTAAGTTTAAATATAACATACAACAATATTTTCAGGATTCAAACTTTCAACTGCTTCCAAAAATTTTAACTGAATTTGTCTATATGATGGACTGTGATCATATATAAAATATTGAATATTATTGGTAGACGATATAGTATGATCCAAAGACATTGAAAGCCCAGATTTATTAATTGGTGGCCAATTATCTCTAGCAGAAACTAACCAAGTTTTTTTCAAATGACCTAATCGACCTCTATTTCTCCTATTACTGTTAAAATTAACAAGATCTAATTATATTATTTATTTTATCTATAATAACATAACAAACTTTTTAATAATAGAAACATACTTTTGTTCAGCTTGTACTGTTTTACTACCAAAAATTCTTTTAAGTTCATTATATGGATTTAAATGTTTATGTTGTACTAATAAAATATCTTCTTTAGATTTTTGTTCAATCCATTGTAAATTATCTATGTTTTGAAAGCTACAACTTGGAAGTGGTTCCCCAAGTAATTTATTTACTTCTCTTACTGTTCTTTCAATTTCATCTACATCCTTTTCTTTAGATTCAATTTGAGCTTTAGAACTTTCAAATTTCTTTCGTTTCTTCTTTTTTTTCTTACGTTTAACTTCATTGATACAATTTTTATCTATCATTTGTTCATTTTCTTCTTCATTTTCTTCCTCACTAATTTCAGAATTTTGATTCAACTAAAAAAAAAAAAAATAAATTTATTAATATTAAATAATGTATTAAAATGTATATTCAGAAGATTCAAAAAAAAATTTGAACATTAACATTATTAAAACATTAAGTAATTATGCAAACAAATGAAAAGTTATTTATTAATTAAAGCACTTTGAACACATACCACATCAAACAAGTTGAATGTCTTAGATTTAACATTGCCAATTATTGAATTGTCTATCTCATTCTCATTTTCACTATTCTTTTCGGATAATATATCGCTTCCATATACTTTTTTCATATACCGTGTAGACATTCTGAATGAATTTAATTTTTAATCTAAAAGTAGATAAATCGATTGAAAAATAGTTTGGAAAATTACAATTTTTGTAAATCTTAAAAATTAAATACACCACGATTATTAATTTCCTTCATTTACCACAAATTCCTGATAAAATCAAAATCTCTCTTCACTTGTCAATTTTCTTCAAATATACAAGTGCAATTACTGTAAATGTATGGAACTATTCATTACTATTGATATAACTTATATGCATCATGTTACTTACATGTATCGTAGTTCACTACAATCATCAATCAAGTTCTGCCAACATTTGTATAATTTTAAAAGTTGCTAAATCGTCAAATGCGAAAGGCGAAAGTTAAAAATGACATATTCTTAGTTATTTGATATTGATTTTCATTAACATATCCATGTATTATTTGTTGAAAATGTTTTTATTATTATGAAATTTTTTATCAAATGGAAGAATAAAAAGTACTTTACTGTTCTATCATTTGACATTACATTCATTTAACTTTCTAGCAATATGTTATCTACCAGAAGGTGACGCCACAAAAAAGCACAAATACCATACGTTTTCTGTGTTTTATTATTTTATTCGATTAATTTATTATATTACCAAAATGAATTTAAAAAACGTTAAAAATAGACTAAAAGATGAAACATTAGATCTTAGCTTGTGCGACCTGAAAGAAGTGCCTGTTCGAGAAATCGTATGTTTAAAAATTTATATTTGATTTAATTTGACACATGTTCAATTTTTGAAGTAATTTTATTTAATTTGATTTAAAATATCAATATCGCATATTAAATATATTTTTGTATTGTTTTACACTATAAAATTATAATATTATATTTATGATATATATATCATATTATTATATTAATATTATATTTATTATAAATATATATAAATTCAAATATTAAATATTTATATTATATTATATTTTTCAGGCAACTATCAAAAAAGCAACAATTTTGGATTTATCAAATAATCTCTTAACATTTTTACCTGTAAGTTTTTACAAATTTATTATTTTTATTTAATAAATGAAATATACATATATTTTTTATTATAAATAATTACTTTCAGAATACTTTCGTTGATCTTAAACAAATAGTTAAATTGGATCTTAGTAAAAATATGTTGACAGAAATCCCTGAAAATTTTGGAGAATTGAGACAACTGAAACATTTGGATCTTTATGCAAATCAAGTAAATTAAAAATAACATATTAAATATTTTTAAAGTAAATTTAAATTATAAATAATAGAAAAATGATTTTACAGATAAGCAGATTACCACTTAGTTTAAGTGAATTAAAAAATTTAAGATGGTTAGACTTAAAAGAAAATCCTTTAACTCTTGCTGTAGCTAGTGTTGCTGGTCCCTGTAGTAATTTGAGTGAATGTCAAGCTTGTGCTCGCAATATTGTTTCTTACTTATCATATGTTAAAGTTACTATTGAGGAAGAAAAATTACGAAGATTAAATGCTACTATTACAGGTAAATTTTAAAAATAAAATATATAAATCTATAAATAGTTTTTATATAATGTACATTATATTGATATTTTAACTTATAGTAGATACAGAAACAGACACCATATCAACAAAAAAGGGAGGAAAAAGAAAAAAAAAGAAACTGGAAAAAAATAATAAACAAAATTTAGATAAGAATGGGTTTAACCTTTTAAGTAAAGTAAAACAAATAGATGAAAATAAAATAGAACCTCCAAAATTGACACTCAGTAATCAAATTAATAAAGAACATGGATTTAAAGGTAATATATTCAAAATAATCTGCAAATGTAAATAATTGTAATCTTAATTAATTGATATTTCAGAAAATGTATATCAATTTTTTGGGTCCATGATCTTATGGTTTTTTCTTTTGGGTTTAATATTTACACTAATGATTATGATTCTTCCATTTTATTCAAAACAATCAGAATTGTTTATAAATTATATAGAAACTAACACAGGTATACCTTTAAAAGAATTTCAAAAATATAGTACTAATGTACTCTATTCTCTTAAAAAAATCGTAATTAATATTTGCGATAATTTATATTTTATCTATGAAACAAATTTTAAAACCGATATTCCAATGAAATAATACGCATTTTAAATATTATGAAAAAAATTAAGATTCTTAAGTATATAAATTTCAATGATCAAATTTATTGAACGTAATAATTTTATAAGATATAGATGTAAAATATAATTAATGAATAAAATTTATTATCGTTGATACTTCTAAAGCCAATGAGGAACCGAATGTCTTCGTATTATGTTGTATTAAAATCACATATGCGAATCAAAAAATGTTATTTATTTTGAAAAATAAAAGATTAATACAGATATATTAAAATGTATCATACTTCTTTGGTCTGTAAATATTTAGTTATATATTATTTTGAATCGTGCAGATATGCATTTCTTTTAAAATATTAAACATTATTTGTAATATTTGTTTTATTTAATAACATTGATGATGTTGATTTAGCAGATGTTTTGCCAAGAGAGTTTTCCATTCTACTAATCAATTTTTGAAAGGTATTCATTCGCAATGAAGTGTGTTGTTCGCCACAGTCGTCCGATGAATCTTCCAATTCGGTTAAAACTCGTCCGTTTATTTCAACCGTTGAATCAATTATTTTTGATTTTTTTCCGCCCACAAATCTATTCCACGATTTCTTTTCTGGGCTGCTTTGCGATCTTATTATATTTTCATGATCTCTGTTATTTAAGACTTCTTTTTGTCGTGCTGTAAAGTCTGCGAGAATAGCGATATCATCATATAGATCGTCTACTTGTTGATTAATGGGAAGAGACTTAGGATAACATAACTCGGATCGCGGAGGTGGTATCTTATAATGTTCGTTATCCACAAGTGATGATCCTTGCGAATAATTTATGTTTTCGCAAAGAACAGGTCGATTAATATTCGTGCGAACAAAATCCGGAGAGAGATTCTTTGTAGTTTGCTGAAAATTCATTTGTCATACGTTTAAAAATAATTCTATAAAAAAAAAAATACTGTTTTAAGTACTGTGCAAAAAAATTAAAATATAATAAAAATTAAATGAAAAAATTAAGAAATACATAGTTCATACTTGAGGTAATTTATAATTTTTAGATTTGTCTCGATATGCAACATCATCATAAAATTGATCCGTATCGATTACATCGTTGATTATCGGTGGTTTTGCATAAATTGGCCTAGGTGGAGGTGGACAAGTATACTCAGATTGTTGTTCTTCGACACGAATTGTTTCTTGCTGAATATTCATCAGATCAGATATATCATCATAGTAAGTGGGTAATTCTTGATTATTTACAGACGGCGATAGCTGCGGTGAAGTTTTACATTTAGTTTTTTTTTCATTTTTTCTTGGAAAATCCTTTTTGCTTCTCATTCTATTCAAAAATGATTTTTTTTGTGGTGATTTTGATGGTTCATCTGTTTTATTCGTTGTTTGAGCCTTGATCGATTTTGTATTCAAAACTATATTCTGTATACAAAAGAAGTATGCAAAATAAAATATCAAGCGTAGACGATTTATTTAATAAAAAAAGGAAAAAAGAAAAAAAGTAAAAATAGGTAAGGAAAATTCAAAAGGAAAAAAAATGAGAAATATGAATGAAACATGGTCACACAATACAATCACCTCAACATTGTCGTAAGATACAAATTTGTTTTGTTCATCTATAACTTTATTATCTTCAGGCATGGTGTTGGCAGTATCATCATATGTTAATTCATTTCGTGAGGCAATTGATTTTCTCTTAGTCTCTTTCTTCTTTCGTTTATCATCAAATTTATGTCCGCTTTTTATGCTCGCACGAACATCATCATACGTTGTGGATTTTTTGTTCGATTGTTCATCATTTATTTTAATTTGAGATTGAAAAGTATCACCAACATTTCCATATTGTGTTGTATCTCTAATTTCTTCGATTTTATGATAAATATCATCCTCTTCTTCATCAGGAAATTCATAAGACGAATTTCGAACAGATATAGTCAATAATTTTCGGGGGATTCGAGCAGGTAATGGAGGAGGAGATGCTGAATGAAGACGAGAAGTAGTGATAGTATCAGAAATATTGGAAAATTGAGGAAGGGAAGAATCACTGGATACGTGGAAAGTATCCTTTATAGAAGAATCGTTTGCTTCTTTTTCTGTTTCCTTATTGGCAACAAGCGGAATGTTTGAAGATTTATCAGGAGGCTCATTGACGCCTAGCGAACTTACATCTTGATAGCGTTCTTCTTTGCAATTCAAGTCTTCTTGAATTGAATCATTTGATTGTTTGATAATACAATTTGAGACAATATTGTCTATTTCTCTTGTCGATTCTTTGGACTCTATCTTTTTTTCACCTCCTAATTCACAAATTTTTGTTATCCATTGTTCCATATCTTTCGGACTTTTGGCAGAAAACTGAAATAATATAAAATTGTTTTAAATTTAAATTGTTCTGAATGAAACTTGAATTTTATTTTAAATATTATTTTTTTTCTTTTTCTTCCTTTCTATATATATATATATAGAGCGTATATTATATCAAAGATTTTTTACTACCTGAAAAGTTCTGCAACCAGGACGGAAAATTTCAAAAGTAGATTCGCTTCGACGTTGATCTCGAGGAATTGCATTTGGAGCAGCTCGAGCCATATAACCATGAATTGGTAAAATCGTACATGGACGATTGTCTCGATCGCTTCCATAAATTAACAAATGTAATCCAACTAAACCTATTTATATTTGCAAAGAAATAAAATTTTTTTAGACATATAATTTTATAAATAAATATATGTCAAGATATATAAAAATGTATCGATCGTATCAATTTTAAAAATCGAATTCTAACTTACCGACCCAACACGATCGATACTGTTCGAATACAAATAATTTTTTTCCTTCTTTTCTATAAAGGAGACCACATAATTGACATTTACTTTTCGTTTCTGTCGCTGAAAAATTCGCGTACATGTTCACCAGTATATGTTCAATTTCTTCTTCTTTAGTTTGACGATTATTGATCGTTTCATGAATTGCAATTGTAGTATTATTCGTCGATTCCATTCCTTGAAATGCCTCATAATAATCTTGTTGCTGCTGCTGTTTCTGAGGGTGTTCCTCTGCTCCTACGTATTCTTGCAATTCGGTTTCTGTTTTTAATGTTACCATTAGACCTTTTGATCCAGCTGCGTTCATATTCAAATATGGTTCCGGGGAAGCCGATCTTCCTATCCTCTCTATCACGAACATCGTTAATGTGTCTTTCGAACGTATTAACAGATTATCCCGAATATTCTCCAATCTAGTTGGAAGTTTGACTTCGCCAAGAAATTCCAAAAATTGCACTACATCTATAATAAAAACATTAGATCGATGTAATAATATAATTAAAATAAATGTAAAATAGGAAGCAAAAAGTAATAAATATAATTATAATATATACATATATATTTTATAAAAATATTTATATATTTTATAAAAAAAAAAAAAACGAATAGTATTGTAATTTACCTCGAAGTATAGCAGTGAGCTCGGCGTTAAGTCCCATCGTAACTTGTTTTCTGTTCAATTTATTAATTTTTCGAATATTATTATTATACTTATAAAGTATAGTTATTCGTTTAGCAATAGTTTTGAACCGAATTTAACGATATAATGCAACAGACTCTCCTACTGAAATTTACCCGGAAATGTGATTAAAGGAGATAGTGTAAAGAAATGAGAATGAAAATGTGCGAGAAGTCTACGTCACATCTAATTGATTTTATTTTCATTATCAATATTCAAGCTTAAAATCTTGCAAGTTTAAAATCAATTTGATTCGAAGCGAATTCGATGAACACCTCCCTTTTCCTTTTAAGCGATCCGTGACGTCTTTTCTCTCGTCATTGAACAAATCGATATTGTTCAATGACGTTTCTAATGACGATTTAATCTGATATTCGAATGGAATATAAATAATTAATAAATTTCGTCGATTCACGATTATCGTACGATGAATCCGTTAATCGAATGCATATCTCACCTGTAAAATATTTGCAGTATATTCTTGTATTTCAAGTTGTTCCAAACTGTATCGCATCGATAAACAAACAATATAGCATATTTAATTTTACTTCATTTCTCGCGACAAACATTGCGGCGCATTATTTTCGAAAGTTTTCTCTTCACTTGTTATTTTAAACAATTACTTTTTTTTCTTAAACGAAATATTTTTAAAAAATATCTTTCTAACAGAAATCGTACAATTGTTTCTTAATATTTAACTCGTTAAAATTCAACGAGCTGAACTGCACGTGGGAGCAACTGAAGGCGGCTCCCGCAAAGACTGTCTCGCTGTCGCTAGTCACTGGAATCTGTCTTTACTTCTCTCTCTCTCCTCTCTCTCGTTCTCTGTCTCTCTCTTCATTTCTTTTTCTCTCTCTTTTAGTCCCCTCCTTCCTTTATTACTTTAGTACTGTCTTATACTACAACAATGTTCCTATGAATCATTGACTCACTCTCCTCAATCGTTCTTTTTTGCTTTAATAATCTTTTGTCTTCGTCGCAGTCATAATATCTTCTTACTCTTCCTTCAGACTCTCTCCTTTTCTCGATCGCAACGCAGCGCGATATGATTTAATTGATCATTCCAATTGTCGGAGCAAGAAAACGAGCAAGAAACAAACATAGCCATTCGCATAACACAGACTCTACAGTCGTATTTCTATCTTTATTTATGAATTTCATAAATTTTTTTTTATTCAATATCTAATTTAACGTTTGGGTTTGTCCGATCGAATCTTTGATATATTTTCAAATATCAAAGATATTTAATAAAATATATAATGTTTCGATTAAATACTAGTTTATTTTAATTAAGTATTCAATCATTAAAGAGATATCAAAAACACCTAAACTCAAAAACTCAAAAAATTACAATTGGCATTCGATATAAAGAGATTGAATATCTACATATACAAATATTTAAAACAATATGTAAACGAAAAGATTTAGTTCTAGTTTTCTCAATAAGTTTACCAATTCTCCCAAGGTGCTTTACCACGTACTTTTTCCAATGGTTTTGAGTAAAGATATTTTCCAACGTCTGTTATGTCTGGTGCTGGATCGTTTTTAGCTATTTCTAATTCTTCGTCTACGATTTTATATGTACTTTTTGTAATTTCCTAGAAAGGATTGAAATTAAAAATACAGATAGATTTGAGAATAAAGCTTTCGCGAGTTTTTTTTTTTTTTTTTTTTTTTGAGAGTGAAAGTTAGAAAGTTTCGGATATATTCAACGTGTGTCTAAGATATTGTTAAAAATATTCTCAAAATGTATTCATAAGAAAAACAATGAAGATTAAGAGAAAAGGTAAAAATGGAAGAAATGTTTTAGAAGAGAAGAGAGAGGAAATAATGCTCAATTTTACTTCAATTTCTGCTTGAGTNGTTTTTTTTTTTTTTTTTTTTTTTTTTTNGAGAGTGAAAGTTAGAAAGTTTCGGATATATTCAACGTGTGTCTAAGATATTGTTAAAAATATTCTCAAAATGTATTCATAAGAAAAACAATGAAGATTAAGAGAAAAGGTAAAAATGGAAGAAATGTTTTAGAAGAGAAGAGAGAGGAAATAATGCTCAATTTTACTTCAATTTCTGCTTGAGTTTTCAGACCATTATCAATTATCTGTTTGGTCAACCAATTAATAGGATCTTGTTTAGCTTGTACCAATTTCACTTCTTCTCTGGTACGATAAGAGGTACCAGGATCGCTCATACTATGTCCATAGTATCGATATGTGACCATTTCGAGAATAATAGGACCTTTCCGTAGAGCGTAATCTTTCGCGAATTTCGCAGCTTCGTGAACATCTAATACTTTCATTCCATCTACCTGAAATAAAAAATAAATGAGAAAAGAAAAAAAGAAGATTTATCCAATTGTTACAAGTGATCTCGATGTATGAATTTTTTTTCCTCTTTTTTATTGTCTCACCTGTATACCTGGAATCAGATCCCCTCGCGTGTAATAATCAGTATTCGCCGAATGCCTATATGTTGCCGTTCCCATACTGTATTTATTATTCTCGCATACATATACCACCGGGAGACTCCACAATTTTGCCAAATTATATGCTTCGAAGGTTTGACCCTGATCCGCAGCACCATCTCCATAGATTACCCAAGCAATACCGCCTGTACTATTATATTTCTGAGCAAATGCTAATCCAGTACCGATCGGTAGCTATCACAATCAAAAAACCAATATATTTTGAATTATAAATGATAACTATTCTTCTTAAATTAAAATCGCCTAGTATTTTTTATTTTTATTTTTTCAAGATATATTAAAATAATTTAGAATCTATTTGTCCTTTAACTTTCAAATAAATCTTATTACATAGAACCAGATCTAATTTATCTCTCCTAACGATCTCGCAAAGAAAATGAAAAAAATTTTATGTTATATTTTTCAAAATATTAAATAGAAAATTTTAATTAACCTAGAGAGTCAGAAACTATTATAGTAATTCGAGTTTTAAAACGAGAATTTGTATAAAAAAAAAATCATTGTTATTCATATTTTTTATTAATACAATCTCTCTCTGCGTTTTGAAATTTATTTCTAATTTGATGTTTTTATAAACTTATTATAACGTTTAGTATAATTATTTTATAATGAATATCATCAATAATATCGGCATCGATCATAACTATGATGTGTTGATTTTCTAATTTTTAAGGGAGATAGAGAAAGAGAAAAAAAGATTCGATTCGAGCTATTTTATACCTGACCACCAACAATTCCTTCGCCTCCATAAAATTTATCTCCGTATATATGCATGGAACCACCTTTTCCTTTTGAAGTTCCAGTTTTTCGACCCATTAATTCCGCAAAAATGTCTCGTGCTGGTATGCCAAATATCACTGCAAAACCATGACACCGATAAGACGTGATCAAAGTATCCTTATCCGATATCACCGACTTCATACCAGTGGCTATTGCTTCCTGTACAAATACATTTCTTTTTCCTTCTTTCTTTTTCATTCTCTTTTTTTCGTCTCATTCTTATTGTTAGATTTTTTTTTGTTTCTATCGTATTTATGACGATATCCGATTAATTCGATTAATCATAAAATTTACCTGACCAATATATAAATGAAGGAAACCATAGATGAAACGCAATCTGTACATTTCTGCCGCTTTGCTTTCTATTCGTCTGATATAGTGCATCGCTTTCAATGCGGAAAGAATGTCATCTTCGTTCATCGTGGCTTTGTCCGGTGGTCCTTTATCCAAACGATACAATTTAAATGCCTAAGTGATATAAGAAAAATTAAAGTTTTTTAATATATAATTTTTAATCTTAAATATTTGTAGTTAACATAGATTGTTAAAATAGGAAATTTCATTTTTAAATTTCTTTGAAACAAGTTTTTATTTTTTGTATTGAAAAAATGTTTTAAATATTTTTACGTAACGATAATTTATTCTAATTTAATTGATGACTTTTATATACAGTTCAGAATTTTTTTTAAATTTTTACAAAGCTTAGAAAAATAAAATCAGGTCTGAAAATAAAATTCTAAAATTATTTACCCCATTTAAAAAATAGATTGTCCATATAGAATTAAAATAAGGAGGATTAATAAGTTTTTATGTAATTCTTTTTTAATTATTTATGAATATAGAGATATAGAGGATATAGAACTTATTCAGATAATATTATTATTATAAATATAATATAAAGCAGAATGCGCATTTATATTTTACCGCATCTACTGTTAGTGCTTTGGTTTGTCCTTTATGAAGAAAGAAAGGATGTCGTCTATGTAATAAAGTTGGAAGTAATTTTAATAAATACATTTTAAACTTATTTCAAAATTATCGTATTTGTCGTTTGATTATCATTTCTCAAGTTCAACATCGATAATTTCCTATCTTCATACAATTCAAGCAATTTGAACATTTGAACATCAAAATTAAAATTATTATATGATCATAAATATCGTTTTTTGATCGAAGATTCTCATTTTAATTTAATTTTTTTTATAGATAAGATCTTTTTTATTATTCAGTCTCAGCAGCATTCATTCGATTCTATAAAAATTTTTCTGTTTTTCAATTCTCCTTCATTCTTTATTGAAGATAAATTTAATAAAATAAAATTTTCCTTAATTTTTTATGTCTACTAAATATATAATATAAATAAAAAAAAGCTGATCATAAATATATTTGTCTTAATAATTCAGATGTAAATATATTTTCAAAAATTATTTACTTTTCCAAAAATTCCTTTCTTTCCTTTCTTTTTTTTTTTTTACATACTTTTCTCTATCTATTTGGGAACTTTGTAATTTTATTTTTGACTCTGTGACTCTCTAATTCTGCTTAGACTTTGATTTACAAAATACATATCGAGATAGTTTTGCTAGCTTCTATTTGAAAAAAATTAAATTTTTTAAATATACAAATAAATAGTAATTTAAAAAAAATCCAGAAAATAAGAAGAATGAAGTAAACAATTTACAAATTTCTTTTTAGAATAAACTCATATTATACATATATTATATATGTATAACATACAATATAGATTATTTATTTTATTTTATTATCTTTCATTACAATTTTTTTCAAATATTACTTTTTTGTGCAATATTTTATTTTTAATTTTATTCTTTGAAATATTCTTGATTGTAAAATTTCGATTGTCCTAAATTATATCAACAAACGGATCGAACACATGAGATCCAATAGGATGTAAAAGGCGAGACGGTTTGCTCGATGTCCAATATCGATGACCCATTTTTGATCGTGTTTGCTTTTTCATTTCCTCACACTCCTCAATATTAATTGTATCCTCTAGCGGAATAAGACGTACAGCTCTAGCAAGAATCGGTGATCTCAATATCGTACTCGATGGAGTGGTATGATTCCATTCTTGACTATATATATGCACACATATATTTTTAATTTTTTAATTTTAAGTCATAAAGATCATAATGATAGAAAATAAAGCATATTTCTGAAAAATATCAATAGTCGATCAAGTTAAAATTTTATTTGCATGATAAATTCGAAACATGAAATCTCAACAATTTTTGCATTCAGAAGATACAGATCCAAAATTCAGAATTAATAAAGTCATAATCGATGTATTACGAAAATAACATACATATCTAATATTATATAAATAAATATTACACAGATAATATAGATATCTAATTAAATTCGAAGTTAATTCTCTTTTTTGATTTTTTTTTAAATTATTGAGATAAATTTATTATTGCAATAAACTTATTTATTTTTTCAATCATTATAATAATTGCCAATTGTGTATATTGTTATATTAATTGTGTATGTTATATTAATTTAATAATCAATTTAATAGTTAAGTCTAACTTTGATCGGCCAGATAAAATAAATTATTTATAAAAAAAATAAGGAAAGAATTTTATATAAAATATAATTAATATATAATTACCGTTGTAGAGATTCGATGCTAAGCAAATTGGTCAATATAGACGAAGATTTATCGTGTTTCGGTATGTCATGTGAAGTAGATGCATTACTTTCAGATCGCGCCGAAAATATTTTACGTATCCCTTGTAATTCCTGTTTTTAATAAAAATTTCAAAAACATACTTTGGGATTAAATTAACTTGTTAATATTTATTTAATTATTTAATTATTTACCTTATGTCGCGATGAAGTAACGTATAAAGGTTTATGAGATACATTTCTTTTTTCTTTTCGCCATGCTTTAAAATTGAACTTGAAATTTTCAAATATGTAATATTAATTAAACAATAATGAAATTAAGTTATTATATCATACAAAAATAAATGATAAATACATAAAAACAAAAATAATATTAAAAAAAATTTAATAAATTTTTTCTCTAAGTCTAATAAAATAAAATTAAATTTATTAAAAAAATTTCAATTCTCGTTTTGGAAAAAAGTATTGTTGAAAAAATCATTTAATAACATTAGTTGTATTCATTCAACAACAGAAATTGTTTTTTTTTTTTTTTTTTCTTTCCTATACCTGACATTCATTTCCTTCGCTCCAATTGGAGCAATGTTTATGTCGTGGACAAATTTGATTTTCTTGTCCGGTTTTTGATAATGAGGAATACGTATGCGCCATTATTCGTTCCATTTCCACCTTTAAAAAGGAAAAGTAGAAATATCTAACTATATTTAAATACAATTAAGTTTATTATAAAATATAAAATAGTATGTATTGTAAAAATTATAAATATTTATTCAATGAATAATTTTATTAAAAAAATATATATATAAATAGAATTTCATAATTGGAATAATTAATAACCTTGATACGTTTTGCACGTTTTCGTGTGCTTGATTGCGAGGTTTGCACTGCTCGGTTTAAGTTTATTTCTTGTTTCGATTGTTGTTGCGCTTTTGAAATACCGAATAGATCTTTCGATTCTGCCACTTTGATCATGAACAGCGAGTCAAATTGCATCATTTCTTTTCGTTTTATTATAGCAAGAAAACATCCTGGATCTAGCATGTGGCTAACATTTTGTCCGTAAATGTCATCAATATTGCCTACTTCGAAGAGATCGGTATCTGGAATCTTATAATTATAACAATTTTCTTAGTAAATTTAAACAAAATCGTAAATAAATTGCATATATTATTGTATCTTACAATAATATTTGAGGTATCGAGATATTATCATTTTTTTGCGATTCTTTGTCCATTTTTGCCAATTTTGACATTTCTTTTTGAGCTTTTTTCTTTGATAAAAAAATAAGAAAAAATAAAGATAATAAACTTACCGGATATTCACGAAAGTATTTTTCCTTGGCCATCTGATTAACGCATTCTACCACTTCCCGAACCATTTGCGTTGTTTCCGATGGTAAAATTGTGTGTACTTCGTATATGAGAAATTGTACATTCGGCCTAGTCAAAGCATACTTCAAAGTGGACATTTGATCGGATAAGAAACTATGCCACTGTTCCTGATTCTTGTAATATTTATTGTTATTATTGTCATTATTATGAACATTGTGAATGTAATTATTCGTCAATGATTCAAGAAGATCTACATCTCCTCCTCGTGCTACTGCAAGATCGACGATATCTCGGACACCCGTATAAGTACACGTTGGAACTGCCAGCACTACAGTTGCTCTCTCTGATTCGATCGTCGAAAGATGAGACACATATCTAAATGTAATTCATTCATTTCTTAGAAATTTCATTTAATCAAAAATATTAAATCTACTAATCAATGTCTCTAATATTTATTGTCCTCCTTAGTGAAAATATTTTATTTAACATTTTTTTTATTTTTCAAGATACATTGAAATAATTTATGTTCTATGCATCTTCTAACTTTTAAAATGAGAGGATTTAGAAATATTAAAATGTGTTATTAAAACAAAAATATTATTTCTAAAAAAAATGATTATGAAATAAAAAAAGCATTATTTTAAACTTTTTTTTTTACTCTAGATATTTATCTCAAAACTATCAAATATATATTTAAGTGAATAATTCACCTACGCTATTTTAATTTAATTTTTAAGAAATTTCTAATAGATAAATAGATGGATAGATTAGGTAGATAAATAGATAGATAGATAGATAAGTAAATAGATGGATAAGTAAAACCCCCATATCCGCAGTTTCAAGTATCTATGATCATAATTCAAAAAAATTAAATAAAAATCATCAAAAATAGTAAAAATATGATATCACATTGTTTACATTATTTACTTCATTTCATCATATAAATTGTGCCAATACTCTACATTCATTGATTAACATAGTTTTATCGTTTTATCATTTTCAATATTTATATATCGTGCATTATTCTTCATTATTCCTTATTTCATACACGTGTAATATGCATACATATATCGTTCTATATTATCCGTATCTTCAGCTATCCGCGAAAGAACTTTTGACACCCATTCCTGAGAATACATGGGTCTTACTATGAAATGAATAGATAGATACTTTTCGGAAAAAACGCGACATTGTTGCAATGTGACATCGAGATCTTTTAGGTAGCTTTCGTACTCGCAACGACGATCACCAGCTCCGAAGACCAAAAGTTTACCAGCGTATTCAATATCGGCCAATAGCCCGGCCAGATATCCGGTATGTCGAGGTGCTAGTGAATGAGTTAAAATCACCGGGCCATAGAATCTACAGTTACGGATTACCTGTGCCAATGTTGCCGCACCCAAGCACAATGATCTCTCCTATTCGTTTGAATGAATCTTTGTTAATTTATATAATCTTCCATTTTTTATATAATCTTGCTCATGTTCCTCAGCTACCTACTAAAAATATAAAACGATGATTACAAACGAGCTTGGAAACAGCCAGCATTTCCCGTTTGATCTCGTGCAAATAAATTATTTTCGGGCAAATAGGATCGAATGCAAACTCATTTTCTTCAAGTTCTATAGATTCTTTTTTTGTTTCACAATATTTTAACTTCAGTTCCGACATTTCTTTTAGAAATTCTTCCTTGTTGACAAATTTCATGGTGTTTATCCATCCAGAAGCGACAGTAGTTTGTACGCCCCAAGTGACACCTTCGATGTCGCGCAAATGACTCGGTAGCAATTCATCTTCCAGATTTTAAATATAATATCAGTAATAATATGTATGTATATATATATATATATATTATTGTTTTAAAGCTAAATACTTTATTTCTATCAAATTTCTATATCGCGTCGAAGAAAAAATATTCACCAAGTTTGAGGGCAGAACCGCGAATACGTAGCCGCGAAATACTTGCGGCAAGATGGATTTTCATCCCCGAAAGAGCGTTGTCGATATCCGTCAATCCAGCAGCCTAACAAATACAATTTCAAGATGTTCGAATTTCCAAAACGCGAACCACGTACGCGCGCGCACAAGAGAAAAAGAAAGAAAGTGAGAGAAAGAAAAGAATGCATTTATTTATAACTATTAATAAAAACGGGAAAAAATGAGAAAAAGAAAAAGAAAAAATAATATGTAATAATTAAATAAAAGAAAAGAAGAAAAAAAAATATCATAAATTTTACCTTAAAAATATTTTCACGTTCTTCAAAGGTTGTGTTATTAAATCGTGGTTTTGAAAATTTTCTTCCTTGCATGTCATATAGTAGCAACCAAACGATCTTTTCTTCATTTTTGATCGCCCTGTTACGTTGCCAAAAACCTGCATCTTCCAAAGCTCGAATGAATATCTTTTTATCTAAATAAGATGAAAATAAATATAACAAAAATTCATAATCGATCTTAACACATGAATATTCATCGACTTACATCTAAAAACATCATAAACAAGCCCGAATACACGACGCATCTCAGCCTCATCTGAATATACTGGAGGTGGCTGAGCTTTTCGAAGAACCTTCGCCGCCAATAAAATATCGTTAAGGCGCCAACCTGGTTCGATGCACATTTCTATCATTGAACCATCGACGATCGTCGATGATTTTCCTTTCAATCCTTCCTGTTGGCTAGGCTTAGCCTTAAAACTATATCCGTATCTCTTTGGCTCCCATTCCCACTCATTTTTCTTACGTTTCACTTCTAACTTTGTTTCAGTTTCCAATCTAGTTTCGTTGACCCTTCGATTTCATTACTAGTTATAGATCATTCCTCTCGTTATTGTTATGAATTCATGATCGATGAAAAGATGTAATCTTACTTACTTTTCCATTGTTTATTTTCGTTTATCGTCCAACAAATGAAACGTGCATATCGATGTTAAATACAAACCGATTAATTTGTTAATTACGTTTTAACTTTCATCACACGGAATAATCATGATCGTGACGAAATTATAATTAGAGAAAAAAGAATTAATATGAGTGCATATTTTAAAATTAAATCGACAAAATATGAGAAAAGGTCAGTCAGTGTATTGGATAAATTCAAGTTGGAAAAAATAAAATAGCAACGTTCATATTGTTATCATGATGAAACGAAGCTTAAACGCATGAAATTATTAAAAAATTAATAAACAATTGCTAATTTATAATTAAAAACTTAATCGATGATTGATTAATCTGCATGCATCTTCGGTGAATTTTTCAGATTAAAAAATCATTCATTTAGAATTTTATAAATAAATTATTACCTGTTTTTTATAAAAATGGTATCAGATTCTCTTTGTAATTCAACCAGTTGATAATAGACTCGATAACGCCAATCTTCATTGCTTGGTAAAATCAAATCTTCCAAGTTTTTATTTAATTCATTGTCATGAAGTTGACTATTGCTTCGTCTCCAATTTGCCAATAAAATGCGAAAGATTTTGGCGCATTCTTCAAACATTGTTCCTTGATAAACAGATATATTCAAGTTTGTTACAATTTTCAAATATCCAGTTAAATATTCTTCTAGCTTCGTGTTATCATCTTATTATTCTTCATACTAAAGAAATCTCTCATTTTTATTGACGAAGTTCTTTTTTTTTAACGATATTAGGAAAAATTGAATTGAGTACAAAAAAAAAGCGATTGTATTCAATTATTACCATTGATCGACAGTCATTTGAATTGAAATTCAATTTTAAATAGAAATGATAAATTCAGTAATTATATATATGAAATAAATCATGAAATATATAAAAAAATTAGATATAAATCATAAAATATAAATATTAAAATATTTATATTTTTATATTAATTTAATATTTTAATTATATAATATTTATTATATTAATTATTTAAATTATAAATAAATATTATTTAAATTATTTATTATATTAATATTTTAATTATATTAATTAAAATATTGTAAAAAATATATTTTTATAAATCTTAACATGAAATTATTGTGCATCATCTTGTAATTATTAATTATCATTAACAGTTTCGGTTGATTTATAATTTCGAATATCTTATATCAAAGATTATTTAAAATATTATTAAAAAAACATTGCATTTATAATTCAATGACATCTATCATTAGTTAATTGTATGACAATTGATGATATTCGATGATCAAATCCATGATCATTTCCTTTTTAAGTAGTTAGATTAAGTTTGATAATAATTGATGATAGTGGTCGGTGGGTAATTCAAGAAATAATTTTCGAACAGAAATCGAAAAATATATAAAATAATGTAATTCATTGAAAAATATTGAAGAACACACTAAAGGTAACAATAATAATAATAGTAATACCATTTGACTTACCGAAAGATGTAAAAATATGAATTAAAAAAAGAATAGGAAACGTAGTAGAATCACAGTACAGTGATAATGGTGGTATACACGTTGAATATCTTGGAAGAGAAAAGCAAAGTAGATTGCGAGCATAAGAACATACTGCAATGTCGCGTGTTTCGGTAATATTTTCCTCAATATCACGTCTATCAGTTTACGCGAATATAAATGGATATAAACGAAAATCACAATTCGCATAAGCCAATCACGATAAATTTTGCTTTCTCGGCAATTCTCAGTTTGCTTCGTATCTCTTTCGTGCATCATTCAATTTACTTCTTACATTCTTTATATATATATATATACTTATAATATATGTATGTATATTTAACTCAATATAAACTGGAACATCGCATAATGTATCGCATAATATAAAACGATAAATATCAAAATGATGTATTTTTTCTACGAACGAACTTAAATCAATAAATCATTTGCAAATTCTTAGAATAGATAAATCAAATCATATATCATAAAAGAAATATTTTTATAAAAAAAAAAAACGAAGAAAAAATAAAAGTATTAAGAAAGAAAAAAAGAAAATTTTTTTCTGATATTATTCTAGTTTATATATATATATATTCTAGTTTATATATATATTAATTATCTCTGGTAAATTTAAAAAAAATACAATTTATATTATATAATATATATTATATAATACATATTATATCTCGATTGCTTTCATTTACATTACTAAAGAAGAAAAAGAATATCATTTGATCATTCGAAGTCATTTCTTATTTCATAATTATAATTAATCATTTCTTGAGAATCATTTTTTTTCTATCTTATCTATTATCATTATCATTATTATTACTAATTTTATTATTATTATTATTATACTACTTATCATTATTCATAGTCTCTAATAAAAAATAGTAGGATATTGTCGTATTCATGATCTAAAAGTATACAAAAAATAAATGTAAAAATGAAATTGTTTTCAAATGAGTAATAATAGGATGGAAACAGCGATTTAGCAGACAGTTTACCTTAGCCAAAAGATCCATTGTAACTTGTACTAAACTACATGCCTTCAAAACAATTGGCCTCTGTGCTAATACTAACAAAAAGTATTTTGCAAAACTAGTATTCTTGTCATACCAGCAACTACAATAAACATTACGACGAAGAAATTCACTCTATGAAGAGAAAGAAAATTAAATGGTGATTGCAATCACTATCATTGATCGATCATTAATCATTTGTTTGCACGCTTGTTCATAAACAATTTAAGATAACGAAAAATACATTTCCAATTAGTACGAACCTCAGTAAAGATTACGTCTCCGGGCCAGGAATATAAAAATGTTTGTATTAATTTTAAGATAAGGTAACTCATGAATGTTCCAATTTTATAGATATTTATTCCATTAACCTGTAAATCGTTTTATATTTGATATATAAAATTGAGAATCAATGAAAATCGATGAAATTTCAAATTATAGTTTATTAAAACAAATTTATTTTACACATTTCATGCAATTTTTCAAATGTATTCACTTTTTTAAAATAATTTATCTTATTTTTATATATAAACTATATAACTATATAAACTATAATATTTATTAGAATTAATCTTTTTGTAATTTTAAATAATATTTCTAATAATATTGATTACATGTAGTATAAATGAGTAACATTATATATATATCATTATTCATAGTCTGATATAATATATTCATATTATATTATATTATATTATATAAATATATTATAAAGAATTGATTAATTTTAGTAAAAAATAATATAGCATAGCATAATTATATTTATTATATATTTAAACATAATTAGTCAGTATATTATTCATATAAATATATACTTGTTATAAAATAAACGTTTTTCAATCATTGCTATCAAAATTCTCACCTGAAATAGCTGAAATATTATAGAACACATGCTCATTGCATTCGTTATAGTCACTAATAAAATGATAGGTCCGTAAATCTCTTGAATAATATTTCGACATTTTAACAATAAAACATGTTTTTCGACACATTCTCGAAAGATTTGCTGATAACTCTTTTTTTTATTCCCTTTATTTTTATCATCAATTGAAGATCTCTTAAATTCAAAACTCAAAAAACGTAATATTATGGAGATACGAAACATACAAAACCCGAAAAATGCATCTACACTAACAGATATAAAAAATATGAACCAAAGAATATTTATATCGAAAAAATAATGCAATTGCCAAATTAACATCGAATTGATTTTCCAAGGAAAAGTTCCAAGAAGAGGCAAAGGATATTGTACATTCGTTATATTTGCATCGTAAAACAATTTTATAATCATTGGTTTTATTGAATAAATGAAACTAGTGATGAACATTAATACTGTCTGTACATAAATCAATCGATAAAACTTTTGAAGATAGAATAAAATTACTGATTTTATATATATTTCATTCAATATTTCTTTTAAAATGGAATTGAGTATATCATTTACTTGTTGTAATTTTTTTCGATGGATGAAAAAACAGGAAGCCTGAGAAAGAAACTTTATTATAAAATATCAAATAAAAATCGATTCGATTATTCACATTTATATTAGATCAAATTATATTACATTAAAAAATCAATTCTTTCAAAATAAATTTCAAAATAAATTCTTTTAAAATACTTGCATACCTTTGTTATTACATTCAATATAGTACCAAAGAGAATGAGTGAAGCAGTAAGCAAAGGAATATTCTCAATATTTTGCAGGCTGGAGTTTCCAACCGCACACAATTCTATAAAGCAAGAAAATATCGCCCAAATTGGTATGTATCGATAAATAATATTCAGTTCTCTTGTAATTGGACACATTCCACCAATGAAAAGAAAAAGTTTTACAAAACTAGCGTATTTCTTATATAATCGTAATTCTTTTGACATCGTTGAAATTACAGAAGCAATTCGATTTGAATCAATGCATAAGCATCCATATACCAATTTTCTAAAAAGGGTCATATTTAAATAATGATCGATGAATATTTTGTTATTCTGCTCTATCATTACTTACCAATCGATCTCGATAACAATGGATAACTCAGTCCTTTAACTTAGTAAATTATTTGAAATTGATCAGCAATTTTAAATATTTTATTCAACAGATTATGCGCATGTCTTGTTTAGGTAGATTAAATAAAATTAATCGATTTTAAATTTGCAAAGATTTTAAAAACTATACGTTTTAAATATTAATTAAATAATAATAATTCTAATAAAAGATCTAGTTATTGAAACAAATAATAATAAAATATTATCAATTATAGAACATATACATAAATAAATGCATAAATTACACAATGAATATAATGCAATAGCAAAGATTTTAAGCACTTAAAAAAATAGTACACATAAAATCAACCATTATTATGAAAATGTTTAAGAAACAAAAAAATTAAATTATACGCTAACTAGTTAAAAATAAAAAGAATATATAATAAATTGAATATCACATATACACATTCGATAAAGAAAAAAATTACCTGATTAATCCTTGTTTAATTGACGATATCAGTTATAAAATATATATATTTTTATTTTTTCCTTTTCTATTAATGTCTACAAGTTATTAGTATAACAAAAAATATAAAATAAATTCTTTTATTTAAAATTTAATTTTCAAAATTTAATTTAAAACTTCAACAAATTATATAATTTGATTATGTTTAATTTTTTTCAAAAATAAGAAATTAAATGATAAAATTTTATTCTAAATTTTTTTTTATTTTCATATTTAAAATAAATTTACTTACAATCCATTGATATGATATAATTCATTGCTTGAAAATTTTTCAAACCTGTTTTTTTCAAAAAAGAAGTTTCAAAAAAAAAGTTTGAAAAAATTTTATTTCATATTTTTAACTTATTTTTTTATATAGAATAACTCCTTATTAATTGTATTGTTAGTTACAGAACATGCTATATATTATTAACAATTATAATAAAAGATATTTGAAAGCAAAATTTAATGTTAATGATTGTACTATCATATTTCTATTATTATTTACACAGAATGTGTAAAAATTCAAATATATATTAACATATATATATATTATATATACATATATATATATATATTATATATATATTAACATATATAACATACATAAGTAATAAACATATCTAAATTTGTATATATAAATAATAAATAACTTTATTTTATTTGATTTAATATAGAAAGTACAAACATTACTCTACTTAATAATAACAAAACTTGTATTAAATCAGGAATAAGAAAAATAAATTTTAATACCATTAATTATTTTAACAATTATTAAATTAATTATTTTTACAAAGTTAAAATTTTTATATTTAAAATTTTATATGAATATATAATATATAAAATTAATTTTCTTATATAAAATTAATTGTTTTTTGTATTTAATTCAAATAATAATATAAAAACTATAATCTTGAAGAAATATTAAATTTTCTTCTTGAATAAAATCTTTATCATCATTGATCATATATTAATAGTCATATATCAATTATAAAAACTATATATTCTATGATTAGAATATTAATAACTTTAATTAATTATTATTAATTCATTTAGTTTCGTTATGTTTATTTATTTTTAAATTATTTAATGTTTTAATTCATGCTTTTATATTTTGTAAATAAATTATATAATACTCGTAGAGTTGATTTGAGATCTAAATTTACAATATCTGTAAATAAAATATAATCATAATCATATCATAAATATATCATATTTACATATTTCCTATTTCTTATAATTATAATATTAAGATTACAAATGATATTAACCTTCTGGACGAGCCTTAGGTTTTGGTAGGCCAATATCTTGCATAATGTCAAATGCAAATGAAACATTATGTACTTTCTGATCATGAGTTTTAGGCGTTAAATGAAAACTACCTAAAGGTACAAAAAAGCCTTCAAGTAGTCCAAGTAGAAGTGTTAAAAAAACACCATCATGAAATTGTGTATCCAAATCTGTCACTTCCAAATGAACTTTACTTAAATGTTTATTGACAAAAGAAACTAACGACTGTAAAATAACATTTATATATAGTATTTACATATTTTCTATAATTTAAATGTATTGTATAACATACTTTTTTAACCACAGCTAATTTATCAGCTGGATGATCAAAAAGACTATCAAAAGCATCTCGTTCACAACGCATTCCCAAATCATCATAAGTTGATGTAATTTCTTCTCTAATTGTATTGTGTATTAATTGACCATCTTTTTTGCGCACAATTACAACTTGAACAGCTACTCTTTCTGGCAATCTAACTGGTGCTCGAAATTGTCTTGCTAAACCAACCAATAAATGTAAAATGGCAACAATATTTTTTGAATGGACAGATTCTACATGCCATTTATAAGGAGGATAACGACCTAATACTCGATTAGCAGTAGACAAAACAACTGCTAATTTCTGTTTCTGACCTTCTTCAGATTGAGTTACTTCAGGTACATCTAATTTTTCTCCTGTTAATTTTTCTGGAATTAATGAGAAAATATGTTTATTTAAATTATTACAAAAAATTTTTTTATTTTGCTAACATACCTAATAATTTTTGTAGTACCTGTCCATCATATAAATCTTCAGCAATATCTTTTACAATAATTCGTTGATCAGCTAATTCATCATTAATCCATTCAATTAAAACAAATATTAGTTCTTTGAGCTTAGAATCTTCTAAAGATCTAGGTTCTATCATTGAACGTTCTTCATTTTCATCTAAAGCATATTCTTCTGGTGGCATTTCAGGATTAGCTGCAAATCCTGGTGAGTCAATTGCATATTTTCCTTCTTCCTGTACTTCTTGAACTTAGCAAACAAATTAAAAAAAAAAGCATTAAAAATGAAATATTAATTATGAAGAATATTGTGAAAAATAATAACATTATAAATAAAATAATAAATAAAATAAAAATATTTTATAAAAAAAATAAATTGAATTTAAATTGATATTATCAATAATTATTTTGTAAAAATTCAAATAACAAATAACTCATACCATATAAGGAAACATATTATACATATTATAAACTTAAAAAAAAATATATTAATATAACATAACATAATGCAATACCTTCTTTAATACGTTTTTTTCGGCCCAAAGTACCAATTTTATCCCAAAAACTTTCTTCTTTTTCATCCTTTCTCGCAGATATTGGAGGTCGCGGAGATTTTGGACGAGGAGACGACATTATTCACGCAATGTTCATAAATAGACGATGTCATCTCTTGAAATACAACTTCCAACCACGTTTTCAATAATCGACACATTGTAGATTTCAAATCTTTTTTAATTATTTATGTATTTGAAATGAATATTTTATCCTTTTTTCTTCATTATTAAAATTAAAATTTTTTCATAAAAGATTCTAATATTTCAATTTTCAAAATTTTATTTATTCTAATTTTTAAATTTTTTATAAATAATTTAAAAAATAACAAAATTTAAAAAATATATTTCAAACTATTTTAATTCATAAAAAAAATATAAGAAACAATTAATAAAAATAACTATTTATGATATAATAAATTATTAAATCAAATAATACAATAGTCGCGTAAAAATACTATTTATATATAAATAGAATTAAATAAAAAAAACATAATTGAAGTTTTCCATTTAATTTTATAATAATATATAATAATAGTACAATACACGTACATATTTTAAATAATAACAATTAAATAGAATATAATAGAATTAAAATATTTGAAAATCAAATGTTCATGAAATAAAATGTAAGAAGATAGAAACGTGATTTGAAAGAGGTTATTTGATGTTATAAATAATCAAAAAATAATTAAAATGTTATCTTTAATTCAACGTTATAAAGCCAATAATATCATGAAACCTTTGTTGTCATTTTTTACAACAAATATCGATGACGATATAAGTAATTTTAATTTAAATTTTATTATAATTTTTTTTTTATAAACATATCTTTATATTGCATATTTTTATTTTCATATTATTTATATTTTTTCTTTTTCTTTGATAGAATTTCGAGTATTGCAGATAATGCCTGAGAACAAATTTTTAAAAAAAAAATCACAAAATGTAACAAATGTTACATCTAAAGATGAAATAGTATCATTCAATCAAAATTGGCAAACAATTTGGCCTGCTGCACATACATTTCATCCTGATATTGTACCACTTCCTTTACAACAAGGATATAAAAATACTAAAGGTTTACATCCTAATAAATATGCAAATGCAGAGCTAATGAAAATTCCAAACTTTTTACATCTTACTCCACCTGTGATCAAAAAACATTGTCAAGCTTTAAAAAAATTTTGCACAAAATGGCCAAAAGATTTAGAAACAGATGAAGCATGTGTAAAATACTTTCCCATTGAAATCATTTCATCTGATTATTGTTATTCTTCTCCTACAATAAGAGAACCTCTTGCTAGAATAGTGAGTTTAAAAGTAAAATTATCCTCTTTGCATTTAGATGCTCATGCTAAAGACAAAATACTTAGATTATTGGGTAATAGATATAATCCTCAAACAGATATAATAACAATAACAGCAGACAGATGTCCAATTAGAAAACAAAATTTAGATTACGTAAAATATCTTTTAACTGCATTATTCCATATAGCATGGGTAAGTTATTTAATTAGTTTTTTTGATTAGACTTATAAGTAATAAAATTTGATTAGACTTTAAAGTAATAAAAATTATTTTAGCGTGTTGAACCATGGGAAACGGAAAAAAGTGAAGAAGATATGGAATATTATGACTGGAATAAAAGTAAAAGCAAAGAATCTTTAACATCTACATATAATTGGCCAAAAATACCAATTGATTTCAATTATGAATATATCCCACATGCAACAGAATATAAAACTGCAGTTTCTGATTTAATAAATAAAGGAGAAAATCAATTTTCAATTGATAAATACAAACAAGCTGTTAAAAATGTGTTAAATCTGAAATTTCATGAGAATATAGAATAAATATTTATAATAATATTATAATGTTTATTATTGATATATTAATTATTGTAAAACATTCTTGAAAAGAAAAATACAAAATTGTATTTATATGTAAAATATTTGTTTTTTATTCAATTATATAATATATTTTATAAGAAATTTTATTATTGATTAGATTTAAATATTTAAATATATATTCATATTTAATATAAATTATATATATGTATTTAATATACATCTACTTCTTATGATATATTTACACTAAACAAGTTAGAATATACAATTAAAGTAAAAATATTTATTTATATTCTTTTAATATAAAAGATTATTAATATTATAATAAAAATAAGAGCATTATTCATGGTCCTTTAGTATAAAAATCATTAAATTATTTATTCGTAAACTTGTTTAAGTCAAAAAAATTTCTTTATACGTGAATGAATGTTCGTAAAAATTAAAACAAGTTTCTGGAATGCTCAATAGCAATTATAAGAATGCTTTATGAAATTATTTGCTTATTTATTGATATTTAAAATTAAAAAAAAATTGTATATTTATATTTAATGATATTTGACTTTCGATTAATAATCAATAAATGATAAAAAAAAATCATTTGTTTCAACTTTTGTTTAAACTTTATCGAAGTAAAAAAGGAATGATCGTTTACTATTCGATCTAAACACATTTAAATAGGATAAGAAATACATAAATTGAGACGTAAGAAATAGGATATCTAAATATTCTTATTTATTATTCTATTTAAAAATTTCTCAAAAGAGAAAAAGTATTAGAAAAAGTAATATAAAAGTTTACTTACGATGAGAAAGTTTTTTTTTTACGGATTTCAAAATTAATATTTTTCTAAAATAATATAATTTTTTTAAATAATATTATGATCATGTATTTTTTATTTCATTATATGATAATTAATGTCAAAGTATAATGTGAATGATAATTAATGTCAAGATTCAATGATATTTTGGATTTAAATATTTATATAAATTTATTATATTTTTAAATAGATCTATTAAACAGAAATATTAATGTATAAAGCTTTTTTTTATATTATAACTAAAATTGCTAAAAGGCAAATGAAATCCAGGTTTTTATCTATTATTATTAGATAGTTTAAATGTTTGAATTGTAAGTAATGAAAGGGAAAAAAACTAATCAGAGAAAAAATATTTTATTACATTACCTACGCATATTAAATGTTAACGTATATTAACGTATATTAAATGTTTTCATGAAATAAAAATCATTTATTGTTGTAATAATATAACAATGTTACGATACCAAATAAAGTTATAATTATAAAAATTATAATTTATTGTTGCATGGAAATGCATTTTAACATATATGTTTCAAGATGGCGTAGCATTATGTTATTCCCTTTCAGTTAGCTTACTCGCAATTAAAATATAATTCCACGGATTTGAGATTTATATCTAGTACCTTTAATAAAATTTGATATCGAATTCTATATTAAAAATAGTAGAAGAGAAACAAATTAATGAAATTTAATAAAGTTGACATCATCTATCCGATAATGATATATAATACTATATGTATTTTTATTATCCATTAAGAATTAATGGATAGATGATGTTATCAAATTTGTTCATAATTTTTCTACTATTCTCAGTGTAAAATTTAATGTCAAATTTTATATACAAATATCTTCGGCAAACTTGCACAAATCTACGAATTATTATGTATCTATAAATTATCTAATACAAAAATATTGTGTTGGATTGTTATATCATTAATATTCATTATTAAATTTTCATTTTTCATCCATTAATTCCAATCTTTTTCTCATTTAATTATTTTTATTATATAATTTCAATTCTAACATATATTAAAAACCAAGAAATAGGTAAATAGTTATCATTTATAGTATTTATGAATGTAATTTTACATTTATATTCAGTAATAATATTTCTTAAATCAATTTTTTGTTTATAGATCTTTTTAATTATTATAGGATAAAAAAAAGTATTAGAAATTAATTAATAATCTCGAATAAATTTAAATTTAAATTAATGTTATTCTCTTTTTTTTCATTTTTATCTTGAATTCAATCTTTACACAATTGATAAAAATGTCATTGACAAAAGCAATATGAATTACAAATATCTTTAGTCAAGAAATACATTAAGAGATATATTTGTATTTTATAACTTTGTTTAAATAGCATAATCTTAAATATTTTGTGATTATCTTTCTTATTACAAAATTATTTTTATACAAATATGATATAACATTGTTTTAGACTAAAAATTTTTTATATTTATATGTTAATAGATAAAATAATTTTATGTTATTAAGTATACACATTTCTTTTATCACTAAATTATTTTTCATGTTGCTACCGTGGAACTCTTGATGAAGATAAAGCTGGAATATATCTGTAACGATATAACATAATTTTTAATTTATGTCATTAAAAATATTAAAAATTATTTGTAAATATGAATAAAAATTATATCAATTCAAAAAATGTTTATTTTTTAAAATATTATAATAAAATATTTTTAAAATATAAATATAATTTTAAAAATCTATTTTGTTTTAACAATTTTTAAGTTCTATTATAAATTCTAGATTATTGCTATTATTACAATTATTAACAATATTGATATAAACTATTTTTTAATTTTTGTTAAACAATACCAATAATTGCATTACTATTTGTCTAATTTTATACTTACTTTTGTTTTCCATTTAACTTTTGATAAGGATGTGTAGTCATTAATCCTCTCCTTTCTTTTTCTCTTACTACTTTTAATATTCCATCTGATACATTTAAATCAATATTTTCTTTTCTCAATTTATCTGCTTTTAATTTATTTAATATAGCTATGCTTTTGGCACTCATTGTTACATGTGATTTTTGAATATGTTTTTTACTTTCTTTATTTCCTATTAAAGAAATTTTAGTATCTTTACTTTTTGGTGATATATTTCTTGCTTGTTTAGTAGGAGTCCTTTTTGTATTTATATTATTTTTTTCTGAAAGAATACGCTTCTTAGTCTGTTCTTGTTTATTACATTGTATATTTTTATTATATTCTTCTTCTATATTATCTTTTGTTACTTTATTACAATTCAAATTTGAATTTTCTTGTAATATGGCACTTATATCATGTATATCCAATACTTTGTCTTTTTCTACAGATGAAGCATCGAAAGTTGTATTTAATGTATCTTTAATAATATAACCATCTTTGTTCTGTTCGTCTAAAGGATGTAATGTATATATAGGCATCTCATTATTAAGAGGATCCATTAAATGCATTACACTAAGGCATGTCAAACTATAAAAACGTTCCTCATGGTTAACTATTTCCATATCTGACCATTTGATATTTCTTACTCCTTCCAATAACTTAATCAATTGTTTAAATTCTTCTTTCATTGTATCTGTCATTGTTCCATATCCTCTCATCAAATCATAATAATTTTGTAATGTTGTACTCATCATTTTAATCATTGAATAATGAGATTCTATTTCACATTGTTGAAGATTGCTTACTTTCTTTGCATGTTCATATTGTTGTTGTAATCTGGATTTTTCTATTTCAGAAATTTGTAATGCAATCATATTTTCTAATTTTTCATGTCTATTTAATTTTACTTCTGCATTCAATTTTTGTATTTCTGTTTCTATTAAACATAATTCTTCCCATGCTGCCTTCATCTGTATTTTTAAGGAATCTCTTTGTCGTTCAAAATAATGTAATGATTTATTAACTCTTGATTTGCCACTTGCATTTTGTTCTTCAAGTGTTAAAGTATCAACAGCTGCTGTTAGATTATGCAATCTTTCATCTGCTGCTTTTTTATATTGAATTCTACAACACAATATCTTATCTGCACTTTCCAGTGAAAGAATTTTTTCATTCAGAACTTTTTTCTTTTGAAGTAATTCAATCAATTCATTGGTTATAGTTAATGCATTTTTATCTATTTCTTTATTAACATTATCATTTTTACAATCTGTTAATACATGTAAAGATCCATTTTCAAGTGCTAATAATTTTTGCTTTAGATAATTTATCTCTTTTTTTTGTTCTTCGACCATAGTTTTATATGCAGTTACATGCATTTCACAAGATATAATATTTTTCTTTATATGACTCTTGATCTTTTTTGCTCTATTTGCATATCTTAATGTATTATATGTATCTTCATAACTAAAGTTAGAAGGTGAAATGTTAGCTATCATAACTGTTTGACAATTTCCACCTAATGAATCTTTTAAAAGACGAGTCAATTTAGAATCTCTGTATGTTATATGTTTTGCACCATCTGCTAACTTATTAATGCAATTGCCTAGAGCCAATAAAGATTTATTAATATTTGCACCTTCTTTAAATCTTGCTCCCTTACAACCTGTAGCAGAAGCTCTTTCAGATCCAGCTAAATCAATCATAGACAATTTAACTTGTCTTACTTGACCATCCAATTTATTAGTAATATTAATATAAACTTGGAAAACAGCATGACTTCTACTACTTTCCTCATTTGCATCAGTAGGATGTTGAGTACGATTTTTATTTCCTTTTGCTAAAAGTGTCAATAATTCTTCAGCACTCTGAATAGCAATTATTTTAAGACCAGCAACAATTATTCCACATCTACCATCATCTCTTAAGTGCAAAGGTCCAGATTTATGTAAAAGATCTTGTACATTTTCATTATAAACCTCTAAATACGTTACACCTAAATTAAATTCACGATGTTCACCTTGCTTTTCTATTTGAGAAAATAATTCTGCTACTGTTCTATACGTGATACCAGGATCTTCGTTACAACCAAGCATAGTATGAGTTTTTCCAGCACCAGTTGCTCCATATGCAAATACAGAACAATTATAACCATCCAAAAGACTACAAATTAAATCTTTAGTACTTCCTTCAAATACATCAATATTATTTGATGTCATATCAAATATTTTGTCAAAAATGAATTGTAATTCTTTATTTTGTTTCTTATTCAAATCACGACCTTTTTGAGCAACGCCATGATAAAAGAATGGATTTTCCTCTTCTTTAGGATCAAAAATAAGCATTTTATCATCAACAATTTTTATAACGGTCCTACAATTGCCTTGAAGCTCATGTTCATTTTGCGGTCGTACTCTTACAATTACCTTAATACTCGTCTGCGAAGCAGAATCAGATTGTGCCGATAAAATTGTACTTTCACTTGCACTTGGTTTCGTTCCATTGCTTGAAAGTCGTTTCTTTGTGAATTTTTTAACCTTACTTGGCGAAAATGCTTTAGCCAAATCCTTCTTATTAAACACCATAGCAGAATCTATTCATTTAAATACAAACATCTATCATTGACCGTTAAGAATAAACTAAGTTTTCAAATTTAAATTTCTGTATCCTGAATTGTCTTCAGAAACAGTTTTGGCAATATTAATTTTTATATAATATAGTAATATTCTAGGGAATTTTTATAAAAAAAATTTAATTTTAATAAAATTGAAAATTAATACATATTTATATTATAATATAAAATTATAATAAAACAATATATTTTATTATAATATATAAAATGTATATTTGTATATTATATTTGTATATTATTTTTATCTATTATTATATTATGTTCAGATTTCTCTAATTACATGTCAAATTTTTTATTACAATATTTTCAATAAAATTTGGAATCATTTTAAAAATTTTTTTATATTGATTGATTTCGTATGTTCTTAAAATTATCTTTGATTATTTTGTTTATTATATCCTTTCTTGTTGGAATAATAACAGTTATTTTAATTTAAATAAATTGTATACAAAAAAGAACTGATAAGAAAAATTAAATATTATTTTTTTTAGATATTTTATATTATAATATTAATAGATAATTAAATTCAACTTATATTTTTATTTTCTTCATGATGAAATATATTAAAAGCAAAAATATTAATACAAATTATTATGATCTCATAATTATTAAAAAAACAATTATGTTTTACATTTTGATGCAATTTATAATTTAAAAGATAATAAAATTATAATCCGTTTAAGCATATAGATTTTAAATATCATTAATTTTACATATATTATAGTTATTAATTAAATATATTGTTATTAAAATTACCATAACAAGATATACATATATAAAATTTTATTAACTACAGTAATATTATTACTGTAAAATCATTTAAATATATACATGTATATTACATATGACGCTACGATAACAATTATTCTTAGAAAGCATTGAAAAAGATAGATGCCTAACATAACCTATAACAAACAAAATGTGTTGTAAAAGTAAAAGCACGAAAACGTGCTAATATAAATATACTGCAAAATTGTAGAAATAGAATGGTTTTACAAAACGTTAGCAGTAATTTAATTAAAATTATTAGTAATGTATGTACTAGACAAAATGAATGGAGTAGCAACAAATGTGCTCAAAGATTGTATATGGCATTGCCACGGCTTACACCACAGGAGGTAATTTTACTAAATTAATTTTTTTAATTTTATCAAATTTATCAGTAATTATATTCTAGGTTACAGCAGTCTTACAAGCTAATGAATATACCAAAGAATTTAATGAGCAAAACTCTGTAAAGTATTATGATTCAAATCAATTAGCATCCAATAATCCTATTGAAGATACTCGATCAGAAGCTCAATGTTTATTTACAAAAGGTATAAACATTATATTAAAAAAAATTGAAAGCATAATGTATAAAATATTCAATACATTTTTATTTTCTTAGTTCTATTAAAAATATTAAAAATATAAATCTTATTTAATATATAATAATAATACAAATTTATTTTAGGAATATTATTAGGTGTGTTTGATGGTCATGGAGGAGGTACATGTGCACAAATTATTTCAAAAAGACTTTTTCATTATATATCAGCATGTTTATTACCCACAAAATTATTAAAACAATATCTTAATACAATTAATTCCAATAATAAAATAGAACTTCTTCAAACATTCAATGACAAAGTGGAATTTATTTCTGAAATTAAAGAACTTTATCAAACAAGTTTTTTAACTTTTGTAAAAGATTTAATAGAAATGGAATATACAAAAGAATTTCAAATGGAAACAGCTCTAGAGAAGGCATTTCTCAGATTAGATAATGATTTGTCAAATGAAGCACTTTTAAATTTAGGTAAAAGTAATAATGCTATAACTCTTGATGTTGCAATGTCTGGTGCTGTAGCAGTTGTTGCACACATAGATGGTCCACATCTTCATGTCACTGGAGTAGGAGATTGCCAAGCAGTACTTGGTATACTTTCTGGTACAGATTATAGACGTTAAATTTCCTATAGACATCAAATTTATCAAAAATAACATATTTTTGTTATCATTACTATTATTTTACTATTATATTAATTATAGAAAATGATGTTTGGACTGCAAAATTAATGACCGTTGAACACAATACTGATAATCGAGCAGAAGTTGAAAGAATTTTATCAGAGCATCCATCTAATGAAAAATCGACTGTAATTAAAATGGAAAGACTTCTTGGACAATTAGCGCCTCTTCGTTCTTTGGGTGATTTTCGTTATAAATGGAGTAAAAAGATTTTAAAAGAAGTAGTGGTACCATATTTTGGCGAAGCAGTAATTCCACCAAATTATCATACCCCTCCATATTTAACAGCGAAACCAGAAGTTAAATATCATAGATTAACACCTAGAGATAAATTTCTTATAATAGCCAGTGATGGTTTGTGGGATTTAATGTCACCCTTACAAGCTGTACGTTTAGTAGGTGAACATATGAGCGGAAAAGTAACATTAAATCCATTAAAATTACCTCGTAAAAATATGAAATTATCAGAAATACATAAAATGTTATTGCAACGTAAAGAGGGATTAAAAAAAAAACCTCTCGATAATAATGCAGCAACGCATTTATTACGAAACGCACTCGGTGGAACGGAATATGGTATAGATCATATTAAGTTATCACAATTATTAACGTTACCAAGAGAAGTAGTACGAATATTTCGTGATGATATTACAATAACGGTGGTTTATATGAATTCTGAATTTTTAAGACACTGCCCTCCATAAATTTGTAGAGAAATTTCTCATTACATTTATAAGATCTTTTACAATTTCCATTATTTCTAAGTATTTTAAAGAAATTAAAAAAATTAATCTTCTATCGTGTACAGCTTGTTATTTATTTAATTAACAATAAAAACAATTTACATGAAAAGAATAGTTTGCTTATTTGAAATACATACATATATCACATACTACATATATAATCGCATTCATTTAATTTAATGAATTATTTAAATTGATTAGCTATTATTTTTATTAAAGAAAATGAATGATGTTGTAGATAATGTCTAAGCAAGATAAAAATTATAAAACATACAAATAAATTTCTAATCTACAATCATAAACATGGTTTAGAAATACTTATTAATCCTACATATTATACAATTAATTTGTTTGGTACAAGTATAGCAATAATTATATAAGTTAAAAACGCACAGAATTCGTTATATAATGTTATGATTTGCAGCATTTCAACTTTTTTACATTTTTGAATAAAAAATAGTCTATTGTTTTGTTGCAGACTAAAATTTAACAAATTTCCATTAGAAAATATATATTGTTCATTCTATAATCTTTATATTAGCTCTGAAAAATAATGTTTATAAATAAACATCAAGCATGTAATGTTGATATTACCATACTGATTATCGAAGGAAAAAAAATGTAAAAATAAAAACCTGAGTTAAAGTTTCTTTACATAAATATTACATATAGCAATATCGGTAATCAAACAAGACATGAGGCAAGTGCGTACATAACTGAAAGATATTTTTGGAAGTATATAACTTTTTTAAAAAAATTTGAATATCAACCCTCTTGACCAAAATCTTCTTTAAATTTTTCTAACTTAGTCATATCTTCTTCATTTACTGTGGGACGGGTAGTCGCTAATGATTTCAACATATCTTTCTAAATATAAAAAAAAATTATATACAATATATTATAATATGACAGAATTATAATTTGAATAAAAATGAAAAAAAATTTTATACTTACCATAGTTACAGGTGGTTCGTATAATTTATCACCTTCTACTTCCATCCAATTCATTTCAATAGCAGCTGGATCTCCCGGTGAACATGGTGTCAATAAATCATCCACAATAATAGAAGGATCTTTTGGTGATGGTCCTCTTACACGTTTAAAATGTGTTGCAGTCTGAACTTGTCTAACTGGCTGCATAAGAGCATCTCGCACAATAATACTTATATCAGCTCCAGAATAACCATCAGTAGCGGCAGCTAATTTTTTAAAATCTTCTTCTGTTAAACAGTGAGAAGTATTTCCTAAATGAATTTTGAACATTATAGCACGAGCTTGTTCATCTGGTAAAGGAATGTAAATTCTCTTCTCAAATCTTCTTCTAATAGCAGAATCTAATACCCATGGTATATTAGTAGCTCCTAATACTAGTATACCATCATTATCCGATCCAACACCTAATACATTATAATTTTACTTTGTCATATTACATATAATACATTATATAAAGAAATTCTTATATAATAAACATTTTCCTTGCCTTGCATCTGTACTAAAAATTCAGTTTTTATTCTTCTTGCAGATTCTGATTCATTGTCAGAACGTGATGAGCAGAGTGAATCAACTTCATCAATAAATATGATACTAGGCTTATGTTGACGAGCTAATTCAAATAAATTTTTGACAAGTTTTTCAGACTCTCCAAGCCATTTGCTTACCAGGTCTGAGGATGACACAGAAAAAAATGTTGAATTATTGGCTTCTGTCGCAACTGCTTTTGCTAAATAAGATTTACCGGTACCTGGTGGCTGAAAATATTTAAAAATTTTAAAAAGTATTTTAAAAAAAAATTATTGAAACTTTATATTTGAAAATTACCCCAAATAATAAGATACCCTTCCATGGTATTCGCTTTCCAGTAAAAAGATGTGGAAAACGTATTGGTAAAATAACAGCTTCTTTTAAAGCCTCCTTAGCTCCATCAAGACCAGCAACATCATTCCACTTAACATCTGGTTTTTCAATAATTATTGCACCTTCTAATTTACTTTGAAGTTTCTTTTTTTCAGGATCACTATCTGTATCACTATCTCCACTATCGCTTTTTTTGTCCTCAGTTTTAGAATTATCTTCACTTGCTTTTACAGGTTTTTTCTTACTTTTTTTCAAATATGCTTTTAATTTTTCAGCTCTTTCCAAATATTGTGTACATTTTGCTCTTATACTTTCTTTAGCTCTGTCACCTTGTGCTTCATCTAAAAGAATAAAACTTAGATTTAAATATGATTTTTGTAATGAAATTATTATAAAAGAAAAATATATTGTAAAAAAACTCCGATAATACTCATACATTTAATAGAATGTAGGAAATATTCAACAGCATGTTCATATAATCTAAGTGCTTCCTCATAATTTTTGTTACGATCTTCTTCAGTAGCTCTAGTAACCAGATCAATAGCTTTCTATGAAATATCAAATATATTTATAATTATAGTTGCTATTTTAGTCATGAAATAAAAATAATATATAAAATAATATATTTAAATTGCACACCTGCAATATTGTACCTGAAGCCATTGTATTGCTTTAATTTGTACCTAACCTTTACTATATTTTAAAATTGTCAAAATATACGGTAGTTCACCGTCACGATGAGACGCAGAGTCTCAAGAAAGTAAAAAGAAATAATGATCGAGACGGCGATCTACCGCATCGACAAAATGTTCTATTTCCTTTGACGGTTCTTCAACGTCACCGCTTGACATATCACATATCTCACTAACACGTTTTTAAAGAAATTCTTGAATATACTGAACATACACTATTTGTTGCGTCCTTAATGATATAAAGTATTAAATAATGTCCCGTCCACAGAATATCTTCCTAATATAATTAATCGAAAATATTTATACATAAAATGCAATACTTTATTAAAATTAAAAAAGAAACGATTTTAATATTTAAATAATATATAAATATATGTAAATATATAAAAACTTAAATCTTTTTAAATGATTTAAAATTTGTACATAAAAATTTTATAATAATTCAATTCAAAATACATAAATATTTAATTTCTACTGTTTTAAATTTGAAAGTTATTGATTAAAGTTAACTAAATAAATTATTTTATTTAATAATTATAAATTCTAAAAGTGAAATAAATTATTGAAATTGATTATCAATTTTTTTATCACAATTTATATTTATGAAAAGTACAACATAATTCATACGTATAAGTTCAATTATAAAGTAAGAATAAGAAAATATACGATGAATATGCGGCTTAAGAACGGGAACGCATGTGCAACAGCTACCTGTCTACGAAGCACTAAGTCCGAAGAGATAAAAACTTCGGAGCTACCGAGAACTACCGATGGATCTTTTTCTGTGTTTATATCTATTACTTATTTTTGTTTTCGCATTCGTGTTGGCCTAAATCTTTAGTCCAAAAATTAACTTTATCCTATTCTAACCTAACAAAATACCGACATACGAAAAATGCGTACTGCGACCATATGATAGAAACAGTAATCGAAACTAAGAAACTTGGATCATCGTCATATAGTAGTTTTACAATAAGGAAGCCACCGAAGAAAAACATTTGATCTAAGTATGAATTGTTTGTTGAATCCTAACTTTTTACTTACTTTATTTATTTGCTTCTTGTGATAATCTCATGAAAATTAAGGGTGTGGCTAACCGGTCCTTCGTTTTATTATTCTAGGCTATGTTCCGAATCTAACTTGGTTTTAGGATTCGTCTAAGGTTAGGAGATTTACATATTTTGAAAAATTACTTTTTTTTTTCTGAACATAATTAATATCAAAACATTATTAATATTCTTTTCTTTAAGCTTTTCTTTAATTTTAAGAACTTATGAATAACAATTTTCTTTATAAAAAAGACAAAAAGAAATAGAAAAAGAAAATTCTTTATTTTATAATTTTATATTTTTACAAATTTATTTATTTGTTTGTTTTAATGAAATGTGAATTATAATATAAGATAACAATTCTTTAAAATGTAAAAATGAATAAATTTTTAAATAATTAAAAATTACAATTTATATATATTTATATATAGTTTTATTTAATTTTTTATATATAAAGTTTTAAAAATATAATCTATCAAGTAAATTTTTTTAATGAAAAATGCAGGAAATTTTTTTTATCCTTATATGTAATTTGTTTTTATAATTTTAATATTAAGATTTTTTAAGATTAAAGAAAAAACTAAACAAAATTTATTGCATATCTAGGTAATACTATATATCAGACATAAGTCAGTGATGTCTGTCCCTTCTTCGTCGTCTAATAAAATAACTGATAATAAACCAGGTGGTACAAGTCCAAGTCCTATAGAAGGCATTGAAGGTATTCCAGGACCTAGTTCTTTAGAACCTATGCATTCATTGTTAGCACAAGATGAAGAATCAGAAGATTATGGAGAAGATGGTGAAGAAGAAGAAGAAGATGACAGTAGTGAAGAAGAAAGTGAAGTGAGTTATTTTATATAAATTATGTTATATTAAAAAAATTTACATATTATTACAGCCAAATTAATTTAATTTTAGATTAGTGATACTGGAATATTTTGTGATGCAGAATGTGAACCTGACCTTGAAAATAACAATTGTTCACTTTCATCATCACAACCACAATCACTTACACAACGAGTACATAGTCCCATCTTACATACCTGTGTACCTTTGGATGTTGTTCAACCACAAAGAAAACGTAAAAGTGAAACTGAATCAAGTTTACCTTGTAAAAAACTTAACCCAGAAGATAAATCTCATTCGATGTTAGTATAATTTCAAAAAAATTATAAAGAAAAAAATTCTTAAAAAAAATTTTAAAACATGAATTTTTATTTTTAGGATTATTAAAAAATTGGATGATAAAAATAAACATGTAAGATGCGTTATTCCAACAAAAGATAACCCTCCACCAGAAATGAGTAATTGGCTTCTTCAATTTCAGGTATAAAAAATACATTATGGTTTAATTGAGAAAATTTGTTTGCTTTTTAAATTATATGAACAATAAAGATATTGTTTCTAATTTTAGAGATGGTCAAATGCAGAAAGAATGTTAGCTATAGATGAATTAATTGAACGATGTGAACCAACACAAGTAAGACATATGATGCAAGTAATTGAACCTCAATTTCAGAGGGATTTCATATCTTTGTTGCCAAAAGAATTGGCTTTGTCAGTGTTAGCTTTCCTAGAACCCAGAGATCTTTTACGCGCTGCTCAAACGTGTCGTAATTGGCGGTTTCTCGCTGACGATAATTTATTATGGAAAGAGAAATGCAGAGCAGCTGGTATAGAAGATTTAAAAGATCTGCCTCCAATAAAACGTAAAAATGGTAGAAATTCAGGTAATTGTTCATCTCCATGGAAACAAGCATATATGAGACAACATAATATAAAGATGAATTGGAGGACAAAACCTATTCGTACACCAAAAGTTTTAAAAGGACATGATGATCATGTTATTACATGCCTTCAATTTTCTGGTAATCGAATAGTAAGCGGCTCCGATGACAATACTCTTAAAGTATGGTCCGCAGTTACAGGCAAGGTAAATTTTAATTATGAAAATAAAATAGATTATTCTGAAAATAAAATCATTATTCTGTAAGTTTTATTATTGTTTGTTTCTTATATTTTTATGTTTTTATATATTTATATTTTTTTACAGTGTTTAAGAACATTAGTTGGACATACAGGTGGTGTATGGTCTTCACAAATGTCTGGTACTACAGTAATCAGTGGTAGTACAGATCGTACCTTGAAAGTATGGAATGCCGAAACTGGTCAATGTATTCATACTTTATATGGACATACATCAACTGTAAGATGTATGCATCTACATGGTAATAAAGTAGTCAGTGGTAGTAGAGATGCAACTTTAAGGGTGTGGCAAGTAGATACTGGCGAATGTTTACATGTACTTGTGGGCCATTTGGCAGCTGTTAGATGTGTGCAATATGATGGAAAATTAGTGGTCAGTGGTGCTTATGACTATATGGTTAAAGTTTGGAATCCGGAACGCGAGGAGTGCCTTCACACTTTACAAGGACATACAAATCGTGTTTATTCTCTCCAAGTAAGCATTAGTCGAATTGTATATGCAAATTATACAAAATTAATATATTATAATAACAATATTATAATTTATGTTTAATTGACATAGTTTTGGCATATTTAAGTAACACAAAGTTATCTTAATTTTTAGAATTGTTTTCATTAAATGAATATTTGCATTATTTTTTTCTTTTATTTTATTCCTATCAATATTTTAAATACTCAATTCAAAAAAATGAACTGTGATTCTCAAAAAACTTATGTATCTCCAATGAATGATCAACATATAACATATAATCTTATATCAATCTATGTAGATTATTATATTATATAGTATAATAGTTTATAATTTTTTTAAATTAATAATATTGTATGATTGTGATAATCTTTTTTTTTGTTAAAACATTTTTTTTTTTAAGTGTATTATCATTGCTGCAAACAATTCTATATTACGAAATATAAATCTTAACAAATTTTATGAAATTTTAGAGAATATTTAATTTGTTTATATATAAATATTATATCAAAAAATATTAATTTATATTTTCTTCTTTCTCCTTATCAGTTTGATGGTGTACATGTTGTTAGTGGTTCTCTGGATACAAGCATAAGAGTGTGGGAAGTTGAAACTGGTGCATGTAGACATACATTAATGGGACATCAGTCGCTCACTTCGGGAATGGAATTACGTAATAATATTTTGGTATCTGGAAATGCTGATTCAACTGTTAAAGTATGGGATATTGTTAGTGGTCACTGCCTTCAAACTTTATCTGGTCCAAATAAGCACCAATCTGCTGTCACCTGCCTTCAATTCAATAGCCATTTTGTAATTACTTCATCTGATGATGGTACAGTTAAACTATGGGATGTTAAAACTGGTGCGTTTGTCTCTGTTATTATTTTTTTTTTTTTTTTTTAATTATTGTTTTAATGAACTCCTAAAGTTTTGTTATATGTTTAGGTGACTTTATAAGAAACTTGGTTGCTCTCGAAAGCGGGGGAAGTGGTGGTGTTGTGTGGAGGATACGTGCAAGTGATACAAAATTGGTGTGTGCGGTGGGTAGTCGTAACGGCACGGAGGAGACCAAACTTCTTGTTCTTGATTTTGATGTAGAGGTAAAATAGTGTACTTTTTTACAAACAAAACTGCCCTCTTCTATGACCTCTGTACATATTTTAATTAGGTAGCATAACCAATCTATTGTACAATGATTCATGTATTACATGGTGTGATTGTGATAAGAATGTATGTCGAAAATTTAAAAAAAAAAAAAGATCGTAAAAAGGAAGACAGTGAATCGGTAGTTATTACAAATGATCTCCGAAGTGGTAGAACATTTAAACTGAAGGCATTAATTATATTAATTATGGAGTGTATTAATCGTGGTGTACAAATATGAGATTTTAAAGACTCAACAAATTACGAAGAACGAGGAGCTTATAAGTGTATTACTGTATTATTGCTGTTATAAAATTTAAAAGAAATCGCTAATAATTTAAATGAAAGATAGCCCACCATGAACATTATCTACATATAACAATTTGTATGGGCGTTTAGGAAAGTATTTTTAAATTACAGAAAAAGAAAGATTTCGTACCATATTTGTCAAGCTTATAGATAAAAATATTGCTTAAAGAATCTCACATTTTGAAAAACAAATAAATGATAATAATAATGATAATGATAAAAAATTCAAGAACAGAAGAGAGAAAAAAAGAAAATAATCATAAAAATATTCTTTGTACAATAAGTTCTTCTTTGCTATATTTCATGTAGCTTATTTAAATTTTTCATTTATTTTAATTAAATTAATTATTATGGGAATTGTGCATAATTTATTGGATTGATATAATCAATATTTAATAATTTTTTAATGAAATGAACGTTGTTGCGTTTTTTTTCATATTGTTTTATTTGCATCAATTTATCATCTAAACTGTTTATGCCTAGATGTTCATATGAAATTATACGATTAATAATCATTAATTGTATAATTTATAATTAATTTTTCTTGGTTTAAAAATATGTTTTGAAGAAATCATAGCGATTTCTAACATTTTATTGATACTAATGTTATATTACATTGAAACTTGGACCATTTTTTGTTACTCGTTAATCAAAATATTAATGAACGTGTTACGTGACGGAAATAACTATTCATGTTGTAGTTTTAAATATAAAAGAAAATTTTATTGATCTCATCTTTTTATATTTACTAATTCATAATATACATATAAATGCATTCATTTATCGTACTCATTTATATTATCATATGCGTTACAAAAGTTTTTTTAAATTATAATAGAAGTTTTTAAAAATATAAAATAATATTTATCTTGCATTTTTTGTTACAAGTATAATTATACATTACATACAATTACATATTTGAAGAAAGCAAGAAAAAAAGAATAATATATAGTAAATATACATGCAAGATCAAATTATTATGTATGAATAGTTTTATTAAACATTTTATAGTTTGTCCATATTGCAACACAATATAGATGTTTTATTACTTTTCAATATATCGTTCTATAAACATAATTAAATGGAATGATTGTACAAATATAAATGTAAAAAAAAAATTTATACTTCTATTTTACGTTATCAAATATTTATCAATTTAGTATTTGATTTTCCATGCGTAACATGTTCAAAAAAACAATTGCTATTTATTGTTTGCTGACTAGACAACCAGGGTTAATTGAATATTCGTGATAGTAATTTAATTGGATTGTCTATATTTAAATAAAATATATTGATTTTTTGACATTAGTAACAAGTCTGGTTTTGCCATGGTGCAATAATAAGAGTTGCAAATCTATCCTGTGCAATATGCACGAATCAATTAAACAATATAAAATCAGTTATTTAAGAATAAACATAAATAAGTTATAAATTTGTCCAAAGTTATAAATATCAACAAAATTGAAATAAGTTGCAAATCTATAGATTTTTATAATAAATTAGTTTTTTATATATCCCTTTCTCATTATAGAAATTATATAAGCTATACAAGTTATACAATTAATTCTAATTGACAATAAATTTTGTAATCTTCAATTGCCAATGCAAAACACGATTCGTGTAAATGCAATTTTTATTATTGAACCTAGGATATTTTAAGAATCGTGTTTTTATTTGTATATTGCTCAATAGTTTATATTTGTAATGATGTGTTATCTGTTGTATCATTTTTTATAAGAAATAGAAAATGTTGCTGCATTTTAAATCTTGTTTTTTTTACCTCGTGTTTTTGTACTCTTTATATAAATATCATGTTTCAACAATAATAGAAAAAGTACATTCTAAACAAGGTATATGTATTGATTGATTTTTTTTCTGAATATATTCCTTTTGAATGCAATATAATCCTCCACAACTACATCGATAAATTAATATATTTTCATTATCATTTGTTGCTTCCAATTCATTCACTGATATTTTTGCATATGTCAAAATACTTTCTGAATCTAATTCTTCTTGTTTTTGTATGGCATCATATTCTTCTTTTAATTTAGGATCACGCAAAACATGCCATGCTTTTAAAACAAGCTGAAACTTTATACCATCAAATTCCGATGTATTTTTATCTGGATGAAATTTCAAAGCTAATGCATGATATGCACGTTTTATATCTTCAGCTGTTGATTCTTTGGTACAACCAAGTACATTATAATAATTTATTATTGAATTCATAATTTTGATTTATAACGTCACATATATCGTTACAATAACTGAAAATAACCAAATTTAAAAGATATATTACATAACCTCAAATATTAAATTCATTATTTATATATTTATTTATATGTCCAAATAAAAAATATTATATGATTAATGATAACAAATATAACGTACATAATATAAGAATAATATTCAATAATTAATTATTAAATATTAAAAATAATAATATCTAATAACATAATAATTCTTCAAAAAAAATCATAACCTCGAGTAATATTTCTTTGCTTTTACTAATTGTATATATTATACGTTTGAAATAAGTATACTACTTACTTATAAATGTGTTTTAATTGATGTTCATTGATATTTCTATTTTCTAAACAGATTGGGTAAAAATTTAACATACTGTCATAAGTAAATCATAAAAATCCCTAAAAATGCAAAAATTTATATGCAAATAATTTTTAAACTATTAAATTAAAAAAAACTTTAATAATTCAAATTAAAGTTCAAATGTTATTTTACGATATGAGAAATTATATAATAATATATAAAATTATTAAAATTCAATGTTAGAAAATTTTAAAATTAATTTTTAAAGTTATAACTATCATATTTGGAAAAATTCAATTAAAGATTAAATTGAAATTCAAATTATAGACAATTTTCATTAAAATAAAGAGAAATTATAAAAAAAGGATAAAAGTTACAAAAAAAAATTATTTATCAATAATTAATTTTTAATAACGTTATTTCTATTATAATTAAATTAAATTAAAATTTCATACATTTAGGATAAAATTTATTTCAATTTTATTTTAAATTAATTAATAATATTCATTGAATCATTATGATGATTCATTCTTATTTATTTCTTTATAAGAAATCCAATGTATATTTTTTTTTAACTTTTCAAACAAAAATACATTTATATTTTTCCAGAATTTTTGAAATCGTTCAAGTTTATTTACAAGTATTTTGCTTAAGAACGATATTATGAAATAAAGATTCACTACAAGAATTATAAATATCACAATAAAAATCTATATGGCATAAGATACCATAACATGATGATATTAAAAAATTCTTTAATAGAGATATTTTTTTTAACTTTTTTCTAAAGTTAATTATCAGTACATGAATCAGTGATTACGATATACATTAAAACCTGAAAATTGCCAACGTCTTTCCATATTTGCTCCAATTCCAAATAAATCTTGTTTGAAGACTTGAGGAAATCGTTGCATTAATGCTTCTACTTCATTTGGTTTAATACCTGGTTCCATTTTTTGTAAATAAGACCATAAATAATCTACACTTGCACCAAATGGATGAATATGTAGAAATGTTGCTATTAATCCTACAATTATAAAAAAATAGATTTATATTATATCAGATTTTAAAATATTTATTGTATATTTTTTAAATATTTCATTTTTTTATTATTCATATTTTTATTTTATCAGATAAAAATTCACAAGATGATTTATGAAAAATACCTATTAACTTGGCATCTTTTTGAGAAATTTGTACGAAGCTAGATGTTAAAACTAATTGTTTCGGAGTTCGAGGTTCTTCGTTAACATCGTCATCTTTATCTAATGTTATTATTTCGCTTTCTCGAGGTTCTTCCTTCTTTGTAGCATTTAATTTTACAGTTAAATCTTTAATTTTTTCGTCATCTTGCGCTTGCTGCTTTCTCGATTGCATCAATTGTTCCTGCATACCTTTTAAGGTTTGTTGCAACATTTTCATTTGTTTATCCTTTGCATCTATTTCACTTTTTGTCTCTGATTTCAACAAATCCACCTATGAAATATAAAAATATATCTCTTTTTTTCATTTGGTTCTTATTTTAACTCGCATTAATTCGCATCACGAGTTAAATAGTAGATCATAATCATCGCATACTTCGTTTTTATATGCCTCCAATTGACACCGAAGACTATCGTTCTCCTCCTTCAATGTTTGTAATCTTTCAATATCATCATGTGAATCTGACTGATTGCGTGCTTTTTTGCGTTGCGGTTCCTCTTCTGAATCAGAAACTTCCATTTCTCCTTCACCTTCCATTAAAGATTCTTCTAATTGTACCGCTTTAATTTCCTATTACAATGAAAAGTCATCACTGAGTCATCATTTCCAAATTTTTAAATTTATTAATAAAGATAACATCAAAAATCATGCCTATATATATATACATATATATACATATATATACACATATATGTATATACATATGTATGTATACATTTTTTTTTTTCATTTTTTCCTTCTTTTTCTTTAAATATCACTAAGTACATAAATTTGATAGAATTTTTTTTTTTAACTTTCATTTTACATATTCCCCAAACGATCATTTTTTACAATCAAAAAATGCATTTTTATAATGCAAAGATCATTTTAAGTTTAATTTTTAAAAAAATTGATGTTTTTGTTTTTTAGAAATCACCTGGAAGATACTAAGCAAAATTTCATATAAATTTACATAGATTAATAAATAAAGAAAAAAATAAAAATAAATTGTGATAAGACAAATTTAGTGCCCTTACTTTTGATTACTTACTACTAATTTAAATAGAGAAATGCAATTAAATGTCTTGAAAAATATTTGAGAAATATTTAAAAAATATTAATAATATAATATATATATAATTATATATATTATATAATAATATATATAATAATATATAAAATTATAGAAAAAATGTTTAGATAAAAGTTCAATCAAGAAAGACAAATGATGCTAATATTTTTTTGATCTTGTAATAGCCTTGAAAATGAAATTGAATTTAAAAATGAAAATATGTATATAGATATACATAATATACATAATAATTCTCTTGCTAGAAAAAATACTTTCAACAATATTTACTTTCAAAGCAATTGTTAGCACTAACATCATCTCAATATATTATGAAAAGAGTGACTGAATTTTAGTGATTTTAATTTGTAACATCAATTTTAAAAATTCTCTTAAGTCTCTTATGAAAATCCTCTTAAAAAAAAAATTTAAAAAAAAGGTTTTTTTTATTTGAATTATGAAACATGAAATAAGAATTGTAAAAAAAAAATAATGAATATTGAATTTTTGAACATTTTTCAATATCATATATGTGCAAAAAAAATGTAAAAAAATATTGTATAAAAAATAAGGAATATGAAAATATATTTTTTTATTTTAAAATTTAATTATGATTTTTTTAAGATCTTCAGGATAATATCAAGATCAAATTAATTCCAACATTTATTTGATCTTTTTGATATCATAAATTATTACACAAAACATTTTTTCATATTTCTCATATTTTTTGAGATTTAATCATTCCTATCTAAATCATACATATGTATGTGTATGTGTCTTAATGAAGCATATTTAACTTTAAATAAAACTTTTAATAAAAATGAATAGATTTATGCCAATTATATCTTCATTTTCGCATTTTCATTTATATTAGCATAGAATGTGAAATTCGCTTAAATGAAAATCATATTTTAAAATATAAATTGTTGTTTGTTCGGTTACCTGTTTGCACTCCACAGTCAATGGTACCTGTTTGATTCAAATTAAAAGAACTATTTTTTACCTTTTATGTTCCATATTTCCCAAAAAGTTTAAACATCAATTGTATACAGTTTGTATGAAATACGTCTAATCAGACGCAAGTTATTCATACTCTTTAATCGCTACTTACCTTTTTTTTGAAAAAATGTGTTTGCAAAACGCGTGTGCCTGGCGTATGGATGAATGTGCATTCGCATAAAGAAGCGCATTGTGACTCATAAGACTTTATCGATGATTACTGTTGTCTAATCGTAAAAAAAAGTAACGTAATGGACACGAGCTACTAACGTGGGAATGCAAATACATACCGAAGATTGTTTCTTCCACATTTCGATGTTCTTCCGTTGAGCCTTTGTGAAGTGATCCCAGACCTTCTTGTGGCTGGCCGCAGTAAAGACGCGTTCAATCTGACTGACTGTTGATGACATGGTCGCATGTTGCATACAAAAACACAACAAATCTTCTGTTGTATACCCTGCTTTGAACTCTACATTCGTGTTGATCTAATACGTAACTCTCGTTAAAATCATCTATATGCGCGCGCGCGCGCGCGCGTTTGTTAATGTAAAATATACATTTTTTAACATAATGTTTGCAATATTGTATAACATCACAAGTGTTGCATACCCAATAACTCTTCTGTATCATTCAGATTCGAACGTTTCCTTCTAAAATATATTATATGATTTTAAAGTTATTCCTACTATCTTTCTTTTTAGAAAAATTTCCTATGTAGCGGGCTAAGCAATAATAATTATGAAGTTACTTATCCCAATAAAATTTTTTAAAAAACTGCTTTCACCATTGATCAGGGATCCTTACAATTCGGCTGCCAATCAGTCTTTTTAATAGATTATGATTAGTGCTTGTTTTCTTTAAGAAAATCTGCACTATTCTCCTAACAACTTACAACATGGAGAGGCTTCCAACGTTAAAATGATGATCTTACGCTATAATTCCACTGATTGTTTTGCATTATACAATATACTAAATTATTTACATTATTTGAAATGATATTTTTATAAATTACTATACTAATAATAAGTTAATAATAATAAATCATTGAGAATCATAGCATAATTTCATCTCCGCAACAAATATTTAGCCCATCACCCTTAATCCTTAGCATTGCAAGCATGCAATTTTTAGGTACACTATGTTTCTATAGAATGAATTTTTGTAATATTTGTGCTCTTTTGTTCAATCATCAGAGCCTAGAATCAGAAGACAGGATATCTTCACCCACCTTATTTTCTCCTACTGTCTTTGATCCTTCTATTGAGTCCCGATGGTGCATTGATAATACACTCGTTATATAATAAATTCCTTACAATATATCTGATGTTGAATCTCAAGGAGGATGAAATTTTTTGACAACCGAGATTCGATACAAAACGATCGACGATATAATCGCAATGTTAATAATTTTATTTCATATTATGTATTTGTTTTTAGAAATGTCAGAATCTTTAATATCAAAAGTGACGTACCTTTCTAATTATAACATAACATTCTGCATTTATTATAAATTGTAATTTTGTATTTATATTTTAATTTAGTAATAGCTAAAAATTTATTAGATTTAGATATAAAAAAAAGTACGCACTTCTGTTATTATAAAACGCGTGAAATTCTGACAAAATCATATTTTGGCATTTCACGTATCGAATGCTCAAAGAATTGTAGAACCCTTATTTTATAATAAAAAAACTTACCAGATAAAGCAATATGTATGTGGATTTGCTCTTGTGTACATAAATAATGTACAGTGGTATAGAGCTATGTTATAGAAAAAAAAAAATATATATATACATATATATGGATTATATAAACGTACATTGTATTAAGAGTCCCTGCATTCTGCCCTTCATTAATTCCTTTGCTTTTTGGAGTTCCTCTTCGTAAGCGACCTTTTCTGTAAGTAGCCTTCGAACGTGAGAATTCGTTGATTGAATCATCGAATAAAAAGTGTTAGCATTGCGTTTGGTACAGTCTCCACGCTCGAGCCATGTTACGACAACCTGGAATGATTTAATGCGCTTGTTTTGTAACGTAACAGAACGCGTTTTCTGGAATTTAAAAGTTTTAGTCTGGAGAAACATTTAGCAATAAAAGTGCTTAAACATTTTATATAAAAAATTATCGTTTATAACAATAATTACTTACTTGCACTGCTTTCATGAATGTATCGTCTTGCTTAATTTTTTCACAAATATTTGATGCTTCGTGATCTGTATAATGTACTACTGGAGGAGGACTGGATGGTGCCCTTTGTCTTTCCTTTTCAACTCTTTCTCTATGGCGTTGTTCTCTCTGTAATTGACGTTGTCTACATTCCCATTCATATTGGTCATCTCTAGCCTATATTTTTTTTTTAATATGAAATAAAATTTAATAAATAAATATTTAATAAATAGTTTCTCATATAAAATTATAAAATTATGAACCTGAGCAAAATCTACATGTAATCTGCCTGTATTTGCAGGATCACCACTGGATCCTATTCTAACTCTATATCCAGATAAATAAATTGCTGCATCAACACTACTTTCGAGTACGAAACGTATATGACAAAAGTTTTTTTTAGAGAGTCGCAAGGTGGTTATTTCTCCACAACGTTCGAATATTTCTTGAATTATCGTTTCTGTGATATTTTCAGGTAAACCTAAATTAAATAAAATTTATAGGAATTTATAAAAAAAAATATTTCTTATTAATTTTTATATAATAAAGAAATATATGGAAATTACCTCCAACAAAAATTGTTCTGCATCCTGGAGGTCTTTCTCTAGTTGTTGGAGGTGGAGCATTTGGATTTGGTGGGAACAACGTACAACTTTTGCAATGTATAATTTCTTTGGTACCTTGTGATGTTGGTGGAGGAGGTAAGGCACTGCTCATAATTTGGGCAGCATCATTCATTATTTGTTCTGGTCCTAATATTTGTGCACCTATCATACTACCATCATGTGACATCATTCCCATACTCATGGGGCCATAACTATGAGTATGTCCCATATGTGGACCAAGTGTCATTTCACTCATCATAGGTCCCATTGGACCCATTGGACCCATTCCCATTACTGGATATCCTACTCCCATTCCCCAAACTCCTGTTGCTTGTTCCATTTGAGTTCCCAAATTTGGAGTGTTACCAGTATTTGATGAAGATGGAATTTCGTTATTATTTGAATTATTATTATGACTATTATTGCTATTGCTAGAATTTATACTATTTCGATCATCTGGCCTTCGTTCTTCTCTTCGATCTCTTTCACTTCTTTCTTCTCTCCTTTCTCTATCTCGCTCTCTCCGATCACTTCGATCACTCCTAGATCTATTTAAAAAAAAATTATAATAATATAACTGTAATAAATATAATGATCATAGCTTAATTAATATTAATATAGCTTAATTATATTAATATAATTATATATTGAAATTATATATTAAAAAAGATTAAAAAAACCTTCTATTATCCCTAGTGTCTCTATTATCTCTGTTTTCTCTTTCTCGTCGAATATCACTTTTTTCATTTCTTTTATCACTATTATCTTCTGGAGCTTCTCTAACTACTGGGGGTTGATTTTTATTTGTACTAAATTCTAAAGGAGAATCATTCATTCCAGGCAGTGGTATTGGTGGAGGTAAAGGAGGAAATCCTTGGCTTGCTAAATCCATAAAACTTTGTGGACCTGCAATTGGAGCAAGAGGTCCCATTGGTCCTATACCTAAAATATGATATTTTTAAATGAGAATAATTTTCTATTCACCATAAAATAAAGTAACTTTAAACACAGTAATGAAAAATGCATATTTCGATAAATGACATAAAATGATTAATATAAAGTACATGGTTAGGACTTTTAAGCATACCCATTGGTGGCATAGCAGCTGCTGGTACACCCGGAAAATTGTAAGCCATTTTCTATTAAATTCTTTATAATTCTGCAGTTATGTTTTGAAATTATAAATAATAAAATGTCGAGGAAAATAATTTACTTTTTAAGAATTCTAGATCATATCGTAGCAAACTCTGCATCCAATATGGCAGGAAGACGAATGTAACCTCCTTAATTTTAAAATCTTCAATTGGTTCATTTTCTTAATAATTTTAATATCAATTAATATCGAACAATGAGAGACAACGAATGTACTAAAATTATTGGAACAAATGTAATTTTAGTGCCTTACAAAGAAAAACATGTTAAAAGGCTAGTATCGTTTACCTCTTATCGATTGTGATATCAATATATATGTAATAAAAATATCCGCCATTTTTAAATAGATTTTTATATTTTTTTGAATTAATTAGAAAATTAATATACATACATATATTGTTTTTAAATAAGTTCTTATTACTTTTTTAATATGTTGTTATTATTTTTAGATATCACGAATGGATGAAGTCAGCAGAATTACAATATTTTACTGGTTCAGAGAGTTTAACATTGGAAGAAGAATTTCAAATGCAAAAGCGATGGCATCAGGATCAAGACAGTGAGTAACTTTATTTTTAAACATGCAAATATTAATAATATATTTTTATTTGTTGTAGAATGTACCTTTATCATTTTAGAAAAAGCTATTTATACTGAAAATGGAAATGAAATAGGTATATAAAACATTTCTTTATCTTTAACATTATTCTTTTTATTACATACTGATATCAATAAATTTTAGAAGCTATGATTGGAGATACAAATTTATTTTTTAATGAATCAGACCAGCCAAATACTGCAGAAATTGAAATTATGATAGCAAATATTAATTGTAGAGAAAAAAAAAGAGGTTGGGAGGCAATAATTCTAATGATGCTTTATGGTATTATGCATTTTTTCTTTCATTATTTTGATATTTTTTTATCTTTATAAAAATTAGCTTTTTTGAATTAGGAATTGACAAATTAAATGTAACAAAATATATTGCAAAAATTAAATGTGATAATGAAAAGAGTATAAAAATGTTTGAAAAATTAAGATTTCATAAGGTAATTGTTTTTTTACTATTATTTTTATTATTTTGTACTATATATATATATATGTACTTTTGATGAAAATAATATATTTACCAATAAATATAATTTATATTATAAAACAGGTAAAAAAAAATGAAATTTTTCAAGAATATATTTTTGAAAAAATGGTAAATCAAGATTGGATAATCTGGTTATATTCTGAAACCATGAATGCAATTACTTATGGCGTTTATGATAAAGAAATTGATAAAAAAGACAAAGAGAATAAATGTGTTAACAATTTATAAAAATCTGTAAAGAATCGATAATTATTTGTACTAATTTTATTTCGTGAATTATTAAGTTATAAAATTTTATAAATATTATTTTAAATATTTTTTTATAAATATTTAAACTATATTATTTTATCATATCAAATAATTCTCTGCATCATAGTTTCAATTGATATAATCGAGACGTAATTAGTTTTTATTGCTTCTAAGTGATCATACTTGAACGTGATCATACATGAACTACAGTATACGCATCTTTGACGAACGTGCTGTGTTATTATAAATGTATTTTATGTATTTGATAATAAATATATTTAATAATATATTTAATAATATATTTAATAATATATTTAATAATAATTAGATATAATTGAAAATATATGTAAGTAATTATATATTTTATTATTTTTTTCATTCATTAAAAAAATTTAAACAAATTTATTAAAAAATGATCTTTAAAAAAATTAAATTCATTATTTTGATTTATTATTATAAAATAATGAATTTATGATGGTATGATTTAAGATGAAAGAATTGTAACATAAGATTTAAAAATTAGCATGCATATTAATAGATGATATATATATCATATATCATATATCATAATTGAATAAAAAAATTGAAAATATACGATATTATTTTTTAGAATATATATTTTCTTTATCTATCTTTTATTTTATATTGACATAGAGAATATAATAATATTTATATCGGATATATATTTATAATATCGTACAATTAATTTATATTAATATAAATTATATGTATAAATATATTGAAAACAAATATTGCTATATCAAAATATCAAATAATAAATAAAATAAAATTTCAAATATTTTTTTTCGATTTTATGAATTCTGAATTTATGATTTATGAATTCTGTTCTCGTTAATATCTTGTAAAATATATGTAAGTATGTATATACTTGAAAAAAATTTTCCAAAAGATATGATAATATTATATATAGAAAAACAAAATTGTGCAGATTTAAAGTAGATGTACATTCGAAAAAAATATAAAAAGAAAATAGAGATGTTGGTATATATATATATATATATATATTGTTAATTAATGGAATATGTAGATTTTTTTAAAGGAAATAATGATTTAAATAATATGAAAAATAAATTATAAAGATAAAAACAATTAATACAATTATTACTTATTTACTTATTCATTTTACATATAGATATATATATATATATATATCAATATCTTATACTACTGTTACATTTATAAAGAATTCATGTTTTATTATTGTGAAAATATACTGCATTATAGTATTATTTTGCCTCATTCGCATTTTATATTTTTCAATAATTTTCAATATTTAAATACAAAATATAGAACAAAAATGATAATGTAATTATGTTATATTATATGGTTTTAAAAAAAATTCCAATGATTGATGATGACAATTTTCATTATACACTTGTAATATGGTATAATATGGTGAGTTTACAATAGAAAGAATTCAAATAATGCAATTTATTTATCATTATTTTATTTATATTTTTACATTTAATTGTTTATGTCATATTTACCATAGAATAGAATAGATTTTCTAATTCCTAATTTTTTCTAATTTTTTTTAATTTCTTTGATTTTCAAAATTTTTTAATAACATTCGATAAAAAATTCGTCAAATTTCTTAATTCACTATATTTCAAAATTTTATCACTTCTATATAAAGTTAATATAAAGCTAATATAAAGTTAATTTTCAGATAGTGAAACGAGATAAAACGAATGTAATGTCTCTATCTAAAATATTACAAAAATTGAAAAATTCTATACAAAAAAGACCGTTACTCTTTAATTCAGTAATGTACGGTTCTTTTTATACTGGTGCGGAATTCGCGCAACAAACTTATAACAGAATGTTCAAGGTAATATTTCTTTTTATATGATTAAAATATATCGTAAACTAATATAAATTTCAAAAACTATTTCAAATTTTGTAAAGAATAAAAAAAATATTTAAAAAATACGAAATTTTATATTAATTAAAATCATTTTTGAAAATATATATAAAACTTACTTTATTTTTTTATTACATTTATGATGTTACGAGAAATATAATATAAATGCGAATCATAATATAAATAAAAATAATATTATATGAGAAATAAATAATCATGTAAAAAAGAAATATATAATGAATACATAAAAAATAAAATAATAATAAATAAATTTCTTTAAAAAAAAAGAAAAATAAGTCAATTACGAAAGTATAATATTGTAATAAAAATATAGACATATGTATTTGATTTTTGTGATGTTTTAATGTTTCTAATTATAATCAATCATTTCGATTGTAGTTTTCGTTATCATCAGCATCAATAAACATAGAAGAAACAAATACATTTAAGATTGAAAAGCCGCTGTTTATTTGGATAAAAAATTTTAATCAAAAATTGAGTTTATTAAATAAGAATAACATGATGCAATTGGAAAGTTACAATTGGACCCAACTAAAGCGATATGCTATCTATGGTTGTTTCATTGCAGGACCACTACTACATGGATGGTATCGCGTATCACTTTATTTTTATTCAATGCTTTATATCATCTGTTCATTATTTATGACGTTAAGCTTTAATAATTATATGATAAGGCACTTTGTTTATTAATTGCATATATATATACAATATGTATACAAAATGTATATATATATACATATATATTTATAACGAATCAAACATAAAAATTACTTAAAATTTCGAGTTCAATAATCTATTTTTTATAAAGATAGATATCTATAATCTATATCCAATCTATAAAGATTGAATTATTGATTACATAAATATATATTTTTAGATAAAAAGTATAAAAGAAATTAAAATATAAATAATAACAATAACAATAACGACAATATTAAAAATTAGAGAAGTAAGTGATATTTTTATAATTATGGAAAAAATTATATATATATTATGTATATAATATAATAATATATATAAATATAGTAAAAATAATATATATATACTAATATATATATATACATAAGGTTTCTTGTAACTTATGTATAAATGGAATCAGAAATATTTTATGATTTAAAATAAAAAAAAAAAATAAAGAATGAAAAATATATTATAAACATCATTTTCAAAAAAAATACATTTGAAAACCAATCATTTACTAATGATATTTAATAAATGACTGATTCTCTATATGAAAAGGAAAAAACATTTTAAAATAAAATTTCTTTGTTTTTTGAGAAAATCGAATTTGAAAATTCATCTCGTATATCTGATTAATTATTGAATAAATATATATTTTGATTACTCTTAAAAATAAAATATTATTCTATTTATTTTATTTATTTTTATATATTATTCAGTATTATTCAATAATATTCAGTTGAGAATTAGTTAAATTCATATATATTTAATTCATAAAAATTCATATAAATTTTTAAATCTTATATCTTTAAAAATAAGAAATCAATCAATTTTTTAATTCTTAATTTTAAATTTTATTATTTTTAATTCTTAAGTTTCTATTTTTAATCATAGAATATTGTTGATTTCATATCTACTATAATTTACGAAATACTTATATATAAAGTACATATAAAATATAATATTATATAAAATATAATATATTAAATTGTAGAAAAATAATTAATTAGTTTTGTTTGATTTTGATAAAATTAACTCTTTCGTAGACATAAATATCAACGTTAATAATTTTGTTAACATAAATATATAAAATAAATTGCCTGTCTATTGAATTGTGTGCGCACGATTTGCATTCATCGGCTGATCAATTATCAATTTATTAATTTATTATTTTTCGTTGAGCTTATTCTGTTTTGTCATTTGTATTAGTATGAAATTCGCCTGTATAGTATTTATTAATGCTAATTTTATTATAAATTATCATAAATGATCATAATTATCATAAAATAATTTGGAAATTGTTATTTAATTGATTAATAATAATTTTTGTTTTCAATATATTTTTGTTAACAAATAGAAATTGACTTGAAAAATTAATTAAATCTTTTAACATTGTTTTTATTAGGTACAAATGGTTGGATATGTTCTACAAAGGCAAAACTATGAAAATTGTCTTCACAAAAGTTTTAATTGATCAATTTGTTTTTACGCCACTATTAATTACACTATTTTTTATCAGTTTGTATAAATTTTTCTTTTTATATATATTTTAGATCTTTAAAAAATGTTATACTTTGTTAGCATTGTTAGCATTATTATACTTTTATATTATTTAATATTTTAGGTATGAGCCTCATGGAGAATAAACCAAATGTGTTTGATGAATGTAAAGCAAAATTTTTTCAAACATTTAAGGTAATTTAAATTATTTTTTTTTTTTAAATTTAAAAAATTCGTATCTAATTGAATTTTTTTTTATTTGTAGACATCATGTATATACTGGTTACCAGTTCAATTTTTTAATTTTCTTTTAGTACCACCAATATTACGAGTTTCTTTTGTTAGTATTGCAGCTTTCTGTTGGGTAAATATTCTTTGTTATTTAAAAAATATTCCTGTATCTGAATGTAATGATAATCAAATAAAATATTGATTTTTTGTATTAATATCTTTGGTTTGATATATTGACAATTATCAAAAATAGTACAATAATGAATATATGTTGTATTTAAATAATTATAATTTCATTTAATTTAATATATTCAATAAAAAATTGATATTTATTAAAGGAAATAAAATATAGGAAATAAATTCAAACATTTTTTCTAAAAATTAATAGATTAAATTGAAATGTCAAAGTATTAAAAATATATAAATAACAAAAACATTAAAAAAAACATATTTTCCTTATTTTTTCAATTTAACATAGTATACATATAACACAATATTATGTTCAAAAATTATAATGAAGTCTTTTATAATTTTATAATGTTATAATAAACAATTCAATAAAATATTGTGCTATTTATAATGTTATAAATTTGATATTTATATAAAAATCAAGTGAACTTTTAAAACTATAAAATCATATTTGTTCATATGTTTTCAAATTTTATATATATTAATTTCAAACTTATAGAATTAAATTTTTTTGTATTTAAAAAAAAATTTGTTTTGAACATTTTCTTTGAAATATATCTAATATTTGATTTAACCAATAATTAACAATATTACACTAAGAGAAAATTTAATATATTTGAACACTATTTTTATTAATAAATAAGTATTTCTCAAATATTATTTTGAGCATTGAAATCAAATTTATTATTAGAGAAATATGTTATTGTAATTATTTAAAATATTAATTTCATTTTTTAACAATTAAAATATTTTTATTTTCTCTAATTTGCATGTATGAATGCATATATACATAAATATATTGATGGTGTATATACATGGACATGTAAAATGTTTAGTTCAGTTTAGTCTTCATTTAACAGTCTTGTTGATATCTTATGTTTCAAAAGAATTTAATCAACTGTACAAGTACATTATAAGAAAAAGCGTATTTCATGTTTGAGGCAATAAAAGATTATAAGCATTTCATGTTTCTATAATAAATATTGTTCATATAAATGCTATAACATATTAATTATATAATACATATATTTGTAGCAACACAATATGTACTTATGTATATAAAATTTGATTGATTTAGCTTATTTTATTTCAATCATATAAAAGAATCCATAAAAAGATAGGCCATGGAAGTTTATTATTTCCATATAAAATATTATATATTATATATACTTATTTTGAATATTTAAGCGAATTAATAATCATAATTAAAAAAATATCATGATTGATCAATATTGAATTTAAATATCAAACAGAATTTAAATATTTAGATATACATTTAGTGTGTTCTACTTTCATTACTTTTTCCATATATATTGTTATACAATGTTCAATTTAAAAGTCATAAAGAATATTATATATTCTATTAGAATTTTGTAAATTTTCATTATTCAGCAAATAAATATTATACATAGGTAATATTACTAAGTAAATATTGTTTACAATATAATATATAATACTGTCAGTTTGGTTCGACAGCAAGCAAGAAGTATTTATATTTTATGTTAAAAGTATTTTTAAAGAGTATATGTCAATTTTTACATACATTTTATATTATACTATTAGAAAGAACCACTTAATTTAATATATTTGGTTCATTTAAATTTGCTATTCGATCATATTAAACTTTTTAAAATTGATAATACTCATATGAGAATGTGTAAAAATTATCTTGTGTTTACTTGAAATATATTTTTTATAACGGTATATATATGTAAGATATAACGTGTATTTTTATGAATGAATATGCATATGTGACTCGATAGCATTGTGCGATTATAAAACATTATCTACTTGCCATCAAGTGAGTTGAGTGATCTACTTCTTTAACAGTCTTAATAGATCAGCTTAATTAGTTCATCTAATATTCATTTTTAACAATTAGGAAAGGCACCTAAGAGGGATCCAGCCCTACCTTGTAGAAGAAAATATATTCATTGTTCCACTAGCTGTGCGTTTTCTTATGAGACGCGCTGCCACTGTAAATTTTTAATTAAAAAAAATATTATTAGATTTTTCTTAACTTTTTTTTTTCTAATTAATTTTTAACTTTATTTTCTTTGAGTTTTTTTTCTATTTCAAACTCACCAGTCGCATCTTGTGGAGTAAGTGGTTTATCTATGACCTTTTGAATTACATTCATCCATTGTGATCTATCATCATCACTTTGAGCAGAAAGAAGATAAGTTCTGTCTGGAGTTTCAAGAGTAAATGAAAATCCTTGATCTCTTGCACCAGGAGGTACTCCTGTTTTTACTGCAAAACCATCTGAACTGTGGCCCAAGAAGATTTCACCTTTTGGATGTGCATCCTTTAAATAAAATAAATTTATTAATTTATTTTCCAATAATAAAAAAATACGAATGTTTATTATTAACTGTTTGAGTGTTACTAATTATTAGATATCTGAAATGTGTCAAACAATGCGATCGTGCTATTTTTTTGTTTATATCAATTGTTGTATTTTGATTATTTAAGATTTACAATTTCATTTTTAAGTTTTCTACTGTTTTTTTTTTTTTTTTGAAATACAAGCAATATATCTATCGATCAGCGATCATATTGTGTAATACTCAAATAATTAAATAAACATGCACACCATAGGATCATCATGATACATCAATTTTCGTCCATCTAGTGTGAACCATCTTTTTTTATAAGCATCTGTATATCTAGGTCCAGTTTTCCATAAAAATCCTTCACGAGGAAAATCTCTGGTAAGCTGTGAAAGTAATTCAGCCTCAGTTGCTCCTGGATATGCAACTTGCAAACGATGTAACTTTGCACATCGTATTGCCAAGTACCAATTTGTGATTACTTCTGGATCTTCATGATATACATAGATATGTCTTGTTGTACCATCTTTCATAAATGATATTTGCAAACTATTTTGATTACCAGTTTTAGGAGGAGCAAAAGCAACATTTAATTCTGATATTCTAAGAACAGCTTTGGGTTCCTTAAAACATAAAGAAATGAAATACATATCAAATATTAAATAAATATATAATTAAATATTTATAAACCTTATTTTCTTTAACATGATATTTGAGAGTATCTTCTGCCTCACAAAGAACAAATTTTCGTGGGTGATAACGTGAATCTTCTTTACCACGTTTCATTAAAAAACCTTCCATGAATCCTGAAACATAATGATTTTGTCTCTCTGGATGACAAAATTCTTCTCTTTCATATTTTGCTCTTATCCATTGTTCTATTAATACTCTGTTAATTGAAAAATATGATTTTTGAAATATATATATATTTTTAATTTAATATTCTGAATGTACAAGACAACCTACTGTGGTGCATCTGGATTTGGTCTGCGATAACATGGAGGTACACGTTCTTCATAATGAAGTCTAGCTGCAATATTACCAACTTCTCTAATTCGGTTTACTTGAGAATCTTCCCACCTGTCTAGTTTTAAATGTTTAACTTTAGAAATATGTGCACCCATTGATCTATGTATACCTGCACATCTTGTGCACACAAATATTCCTATATTATAAGAAGCCCATTCTGGATCTGAAATTTAATTCCAATTAATCTTATGAAAATATCTTTTATTTTCTAATTTTTTGATATTATTATCATTTATCCAAATATAGCTAAATATACATGATTATAAAAATAATGTGAAAATATATTATAAATAAAAAAAAATGTAACATTATTTTCAAAATAACAAAAATAAGCTATTTATTTATTTCAAAAAAAAAGATATTATGTATTTTTAAAAAAATATATAACAAAAGAGATAAATAAACATAAGTAACACAATTTCAATGTATGAAAAAAATTTCTTTATTACTATATACAATTATGAATTAAATATTAATGAATATTATATTATTATCTTTAAATTTATTACATAAAAGTCATTTTAAATGATATAATTTTAAAACTTTTAAAAACAAATACAATATTTTCTATTTTAATTAAAATTCATATTAAAATCTTAAAAAAAATTCTTCAATACCAACAATACCATAAAACAACTTTATAAATCAATTTTTTTAATCAATTATAGCAAAATAGAATTGAATAAAAATAGCAATTTCAATTTTCTTCTTTTTAATATTATAATTATTATTAAATTATTTTGGAATTTGTTTCGAACAAAATTAAGAAAATAAAGTTTCATATTCAATTATTAAAAAATTTGCAATATAATAAAACAAATACTTTTTAATAACTTTTACATTGTGATATAATAATATAATAAATACTTTTTAAAAAATCCACTCACTTTTTGCCCCACAATCCGCACACACATTATTTCCAGGTTTTTTGAGGAGTTCTGCTAACAACTTCTCATTTAAGTCCGCCATCTTAAAACACTGACAAACAGCAATATGTATATATACAAAGATTATTCGATACGAAGAAGGTTAACTCTTATTGAAAAGATTGCCTATAATTAACCTTTGAAAATATTATAATAATTTAAATTCATTTAATATGTTATATAATATATGTAATAAAATAAAAAATTTTATTTATAATTTTTAATCACGTTTATTTTTTATGTTTAATAAATTAATAAATTAATTGAGAATAATTGTTTGTTTTCAGATATTCTTTTTTTATTATACTATTACATACGAGAATAAATAAAAATTTATAAAAACTAAACTAATATTTTTACTAAATTAATATTTTTAATTTTTTAAACTTTAATATGTTATAATATCAAAAATGATTAATTTTTATTGTTTCTAGAGTTATAATATATTTAAAATGTTTTTGTATAAAAAAATTATTTGATCAAAAAATAAATCAATTATAATATAAATATTATCTAGTATAATTATATTCACTGTTATCAAATAATGTATCAATCTATTAATTTAATAAAAACAATTAAATTGTTTCCATTTTTAAATGAATAAATATCAGATGACAATTTATATTTAATGAATATTCTTATTGATTATTTTCAAAATTATATTAAATTTTAACATAATTTTATTCACAGTTATTTAAGATATATATACATATTCATATATTTTTTTTATATTATACATATATATATATTCTTTACACACGTATTTTTTGGTTAAATTTCTAACAGAAGATTATCAATAGTAAGTATATATATTTTTATTTTAAAAATACATTAAAAATATATAAAATTTGAAAATAATATTTATTATAAGACGTAAATACTTATATTTATTTATATGTATATATTTAATATCTATAAGTTTACAGAAAATTGCATTGGAAATTTATAATTTTTAAAAATTTATATTGATAAATTGAATCATAAAAATTAATATCTATTTATAGTTTTTCTTTATCCATAAAAATACTAAATATACAATACAATATGTTTACAATATGTATTACATATTATAAACATTATATTAAAATATATTATTTTTGAAATATAAAAAAATTAATAATCTTTAATATTGTTTTTTTTATAATAATTTAATTATATGTATATAAATAATGGTATATAAAAAATAGTATATAGAAGTTAAAGATATTAAATTCTGTATAATTTCATTAATTCATTAATAATATTAATAATTACAAACAGATAATTAAGATATTTAATATTTTTGTAAAAAAATAATTAAACGTGATTAAGATTTATTTGTGTTTAATATTAAGTGATAAAAAATTTTATAATATTTATTATTATAATTGATATAATGTCGAAAATATGAACCTAAAAAAAATAAAAGAAGCGTAACATTGATTCTAGTCGTGGAGTGATTTATCGTTTGTACAGGGCCACCAAGTGTAATAAGCGACGCGTTCTGCCACTAGCTAACCAATTTTGATTCATTAATAGGTCGACCCGTATGACCCAAAGTGTCTGCGACTGCTAAACGAATTAATTTACCCATATTCTTCTTTGTCAATGTGTGTTTTTCTTACATAAAAACGAAATTTTGTTTACTGTCAATTGTGACTATTTTTATCCGTGAGTTATCTCTACTAGTTATATGCATAACATTGTTCTGCTTCGAATTAAAAATAATATAACTCAAAATTTTCATCGATATGTAAAAGGATTTTTAATCATAAAACTATGTGCAAAATGAAGGTAATTTTAATTGAATAAAAATGATTTTTTTTCAAATTTTTACTCGATGTTATTAATTTAAATATAAATCCCATATCTCTGATTTCCTATAGATATTTAAATCAATGATTTAAAATTTTTCTTATAAAAGCCAAAAATTTTCATTTCTTGTTAAAATTTATTTTAGTATTATAAAACAGTAGTATAAAAAATTTATTATATTAGAAATGAATTATATAATGATATTAAGAGTAAAATAAAAATATTTGTTAAAATGTTCTTTTTAATATTATCATATTATCATATTATCATTATATATATATATCTCTTTGCTTAAACATGTATAAACTAATACTTAAACTAATAATTAAAGTTTCATTATTCACATTTATATTATATTATTAATACTTATGTAAAATAATATTAGAAGAATGTTCTATTTCATTAATTTTAATTATTATATATTATATATACATGTTTTCTTTAAAATATATATATTTTATAATATTTTCAATTAAATGTATTTGTAGAAATTAATAATAGTTCAAGATGAATTTTAATTAATTTTAATTTTGTATTTAAAAAAAAACGAGAAAATTTAAATTTTATATTTTATTATATTATTTTTATTTCTAATTAGAATATAGTATAGTTATAAATAATATTTTACGATAAAAATATAAAATATAATAAAAAAATTTACGGAATTATATAATTTAAATCATAAAATTAATATAATTTAAATTCGAAATTAAAATAAATTATTCCATTAAGTACGTAATATTTCTATATTTTAGTAATTTTAATAATTATAATTATTTTTTGTTAAATAGATAAATTTTGTTAAATAGAAGAAATCAAAATTAACAAAAAATTAACAAAACAATAGAAAACTTTTTATAAATTTCTATATATTTCACGAGTAATTGCAATAATATATAATAATCATATAGTAATAAAAAAATATGTAATTATATTTTATATACATTATTTATTTTTTTTAAATTTAATAATGCTAACATTTAATAAAAATATTTAATAGTATATCTACTTTTATTTGATTATTTTATTATTTAATAAATTTATTTTAATATTTATATTAATAAATAAAAAATTGAATTTTTAATTTTAACTATATTATATAAATATGCATATTGATTTTGATAACAATTTAATAAAAGATCTTTCATTAAATTGTTTCAAAGCCATTGTTTCATAAAATTGCTTTTATTTTTCATAGAATGATATTTAATATATAAATAATATTATATAAATAATAAAATATATTAACATATTAAAATTATCTTGTATAAAATATAAAATTATTAATTAATTAATATTCTTTGAAAAAGATCAATTGGGTTTACAGATGCAGTGGTTTGCCATAATGATATGCTTATATGCTGGAGTAGCTAGTGCAAGAACAGAAGAAGATCAACAAACATCTTCTTCAACTTCAATTACTGGAATATCTGATGGTCTTTTAGAACATTGTTTTTATCAGCAATCTAGTGAATGTCCTGATGTCAAAATAACTGGATGTTCTTGTAAAAAAATTATTCTTGCTCATAATAATCCTGAAGGCAATGCTGTACTTTGTTGCAATTTGGATATTCAAAACTTTGAATCAGAACTTTCTTGTACAGGTTAAAAAATTGTTTAAAAAATTAAAAAATTGAAATTAAAATTTTATTACATTAATGACAAATGAAATATTCTATATCTATATTATAATTAAGTATAAATTTGGCAAATATTTAAAAATTTACTCTAAATTTTTTAAAAACATTTTTATTTGTTTTATTTCAGGATTTCCATCAAATATATCATACATACATATAAGAAATGCAACATTGGATGTATTTAATGTAAGTGAAATTCGATGGAGGAGACTAAAATCACTTGCAATTACAGATGGTAAAATTAATAGAATAAAAGGACAATTTCGAATGATGACTCCAACAATTTGTTTGAATCTTTCAAATAATGCTCTTATTGAAGTAGAGAATAATTCACTTACAAGATTAGCTCAACTTACTACTTTGGATCTATCTTATAATAATCTTACACATTTACCAGCTTTAAATACAATGAATGGTCGCGAATTTTGGCTTGATATTTCAGGTAAATAAAAATTTATATTTTATTTCAATATTAAATTTTATGAATATTTCAAAATATAACTTTTTATATTTAGGAACAAATACACTTTGGTGTCATGATATTTATCAATATATTAATAAAACAGGAGAAAAGCAAATTAATTTTAATCATGAAAATGAAACTGTATGTTCAGCTAGTAAAACTTGGCATTGGTTTAATACAACAGAACAAGTTCCATTGAAACAAGTTCGATATCTTAGTTTGGTAATAATTTGAGAACAAAAATCATGTTTTTAGAAATATAGGTAAAACTTTAAGTAATAGTTTAAACTGATATTTATTATTTAATTGTTCTCTTTTGAATTAACAGTTACAAACAGAATGTCCTAAAGGAGATACATGGCAGTGTCAATGTAATTTCAGAAGATTGGATATTGTTGAAGGTAAACCACCAACTTTAGCAGTAAATGTAGATTGTAGTGGAATTCAAATTACTGAATTACCTGAAAAATTACCTCGCAATACTATAGCACTGAATGTTTCATATAATAACGTACGTAAATTTTATATTTTCTTAAATTATCGAAACTAATAAAAATAATTTTAATTTAATCATTATTATTTCTTAACTCTTATTTTTAATATAATTTTTAATAAAATTAAAAATATTTTTTACTATATATATTATATTATAATAGTATGTTATTATTTTTATCATTGATTGTTATAGATCACTGTATTAGATGATCTAAGTACTAATCCATGTTATGAAGATATAAGAGAGTTTTATGCTGACTACAATAATATATCGTCTATAAATAAATTAGAAGGTTCTAAATTTTTGGATAATTATGCTTTTCTTAGTTTACGATATAATAAAATTAAATCTGTAAGTAAATGTAAAAAAATTTTAATAATATTCTAAATACAAGTATGTTAAAATTATGCATATTTTAAATGTGTAGCTTCCTACATATATTTTAAGCCCTAATACTCACGACAAGAGTTTCACTAGTTCGCGATTAGTAAAGCTTGGAGGAAATGAATTACATTGTGATTGTAATACAGCCAAGTATTTAAAGGTAATATTTAAAATATAATTTAAATTTGATAAATATGTTTTTATTTTGTGAAATTTAATTTTTTAAAATTATAACTTAGGTATGGCTACAAACTCGTATATTAGATTCCGATGAAGTATTTTGCGAAAATGTAAAAGAAAAGGTTATTGATTTAGAACCTTCAAAGATGTGTGTTTATCCTGGTGATTGGACAGATTATATTTATTATATTATTGCTACAGAAGTTATACTCTTAATAAGTCTTATAGCTAAAGTATCATATGATTATTGGATTTTTAAAACAGCAGGCTATCTTCCATGGCCAGCAAATAAAATGCCAAAACTACCTTGTGATTGGCTATGTGAAACGTAGTAATAATTTTTTTTTATATTCATTTATAATATTTTCTGAAAAAGACAGATTCCAATAATATTTCTATAAAAAAATATTAAATTTTTATATATTATCGAATACATATGTTTTTATATATATGCGTGTGCACGCACAAATATTATACAAATTTTGAATTGAATAATTATATATTTTAAAAAAATAATAAACGTAATAATAAACTAAATAATAAACATATTATGTATTTAAATATTTTATAAATATAAATTTATTATTAATTATATAAAACTATTAAGATTTTAAGAATTTAAATAATTTAAATAAATGTCATAAATTTTAAATTTATTCATGATATTGAAACAATTCATTTATATTAAAATTTATAATGCAAATAATTTTTTTATAAAATAATTTTCATATACAGAAAATAAAACTTGAATAAAATTGATGATATTATCAGAAGTTAATATACAATTAAAATATAATCCTTATAAAATATAATCCTTAATAAATAATAATAATTTTTATTGAAAAAAAAAACAATTTATTTTAATTTATAATTTATAATAATTGAAAATTTAATGCAATTAACTCAAAATGTGTGTTCATATAATATTATATTTATATATATAATACATATCAATGCATAATTTTAATATATTGTTTAAATATATTATAAAAATGTGATATTTTTTATTAAAAGTTATTATTTGTATTCAATATAATGTGATATAATAATATATAATAATACGAATTTTTTTATTGATTTATAGTCCCTTTATAATTGTAAATATTTTTATATATTTTATACTATATTTTTATATTTATATTTATATATATTTATATATTATATTTTTAAAAAATTGTTTATTACTTCTGTATATTCTTTAATTTTTTCTTAATTTTTTTTTAAATAATATAATATTCAGTTAAAATACATATATATATATATTAAAATGCTTAAAATTAATTATCAAATATATTATACATATAAATTTTTATTGATGAAAATCACTTTTACTGATTTTTCAGTATTTTTATTTTTTTTTTAATTTTTTTTAAAGTTTTTCTTTTTTTGAAGTTTTAGTTTGTTTATTTTCTTTTTTTTTTTTATTTTTTTTATTTATTTTCTTGTCTTCAATTTCTTCACTCTTTAATTTATTTCCCAAAGTATTTATAGTAACTTGTCTATAATATAAATATAAAAAATGATATGAATAATGTTTTTATTATTATTTTATTTTTATATATTATTATAAAAATAAATATAACAATATATACCTTATTTTTTCTTTATTATATACACGTTTAAATGTAGGAATGGTTGATATCTTTTCTCTAGTAGGAGCTTTATGTTCAAGTTTTCGTTTTTCCTTTTTACTATGTTTTTTCATAGCTAACATATAATCAGGAACATTACATCCAGATTCTCGCATGATAGTAGCTATACTAAAATATTAAAAATATATTGCTATATATATTGTTTTATAATTTATATCTTAACATCATGGTTTAAATTAATATTTACCTTCTTAAATTTGTAGTATCTTGTTCAGTAAAAAAAGTAATTGCTTTTCCTTTATGTCCAGCTCTACCAGTACGACCTATTTTAAACAATATATGTTAAGAATTTTTAAATATTATTTTATATTATTAATGTAATTCTTTTTTTATTAAATTCAGAAATACATACCAATTCTATGAATATAAGAAATAGCAGATGATGGAAAATCATAATTGATAACAAGATTTATACCCTTAAAATCAATACCTCTTGCCATTAATTCTGTACATATTAAGACCCATATTTTTCCTTCTCTAAAACAACGAACTACATTGTCTCGCTATAAAAGAAAAAATTATATTAAAATCATTTGGTTAATAAATTATTATTTATAAAAAAAATACCTGTGTTTGTGTTCTATCAGCATGAATTACGTCAACATTAATTCCATCATATATAAGTTCATTAAATAATTCTTGTGCTCTTTCTTTGCTTTGTACAAATACCAGCACAGGTGGTAATATTCCCTTTATTGAATGCAATTAAGCATAATAATAGAATAAAATAAATTTCATAATATAATAATAAAGATAATACCTTTTGAATAATATTTCTAAGAGCTACAAGTTTTCCTCTTTCTGCACCAACAAATAAAAGTTCTTGTTCTACCAAATCAGTTGCAGCATTTCTATAAAAAATATAACATATAGTCAAGAAATATTTGTTTGCAGATAATATATTTTTTTATAGATTTAAAAAAAATGATTTAAACCTATGTCCAACAGTAACTGTTATAAGACCTTTCAAATTACGTCGACACCATTTGGTTACTATAGGAGTATTAGTTGCACTAAACATTGCCTTATGTAATTTTTCACTTGTACATGATTTTGAAATTTTTTCAAATTGATCTCTGAAGCATCTTATTCCATCTTCAAACAATTTATCTACTTCATCCACAATTAGCCATTCAACACTAAAATTTAAATATTTGTTATAATTTTTATGTATTATATATTATGATTCTAATATAATTGAATCATTAAAATTTATAAATGATTAAATTATTATATGTTGATATATCAATTTTAAATTATTACTTATTAAAAGAAATAGCTGGTGGATCTTGATTCAATAAATATATTATTCTTTTTGGAGTAGTGATTAATATATCTGTAATAAAAATAAAATTATATAGTTATATATACTCTCATTATTTTAATATTTCATATATTTTATACTAACCAAATTTTTGTGAACTTTTAGGTCCATATTTGTTTAATGCTTGATTTATTTTACTTATAATGTGAATTTTAAAATTATATCCCTCACTAAGACGTAAACATTCTCTATATGTTTGTTTTGCTAATTCTCTTGTTGGACTTAATATAACAGCTCTAAATCCTTTTTTTTCTGGTCCACCTAAATGATGAATTATAGGTAATAAAAATGCAGCTGTTTTTCCAGATCCTGTTGGAGCACAAGCTAATATTTGCCTGCCCTATTTCAGTAAAGATTATAAAGAAATTAATAATTTTTTGCTGAAAGTATTAATAAAATAAAATTTTTAATAAATATTATATATAATGATTTATACTTATAACATACTTGTAACATAACAGGTATAGCTTGCATTTGAATTGGAGTAGGATACTGATAACCACAATTTATAATATTATTTATTAACTTTTTAGATATACCATAATCTCTTGATAATTCAATAAATTCTAAAACAGGTTTAGGTATTCTATTGCCTGTGACACTTATGTGATAATGATTACGATGTTGATTAATCTAAGAAAATATTTAATTTATTAAAATTGTTATTTTTAAAACTAATTAATTTTTAATAAAAAAAAACATTTAAAACCTTCTCTTGTGTTAATTTTAATTGTTTTTCTTCTGTTAAAGACACTTTGCACTTTTTATTTTGATTTTTGGAAACAGACATTCCATTAATTAACATTAGTTCATTAATATTTTCAGTTTTTTCCTCAATATCATTGTATTTTCTTTTCTTACATATTGCTGAATAATTTATATCATCAAAAGTTTTAATTATTTTTTTATCACTAATTACATTTTCAGGTTGCTTTTTAATAAGCTATACAAGAAACAGAATGATTATCATATTAATAAAATTTATTTAAAATATATTTATATTTTTAAATATTTTAATAATATTTTATTTTTGGAAATACCTGAAATCTTTCTGCATCAATCTGAAAACGTTTTTTATCAAATTTTATACCAGTAGAAAGTTTTCGAAAAAGTTCATATGCGTCCATTTTTCTATTTATTATATTTAATATTATTGATTAATTATATTTTTGTATTCAATAGATATTCTTGTATAAAAATATAATATAATATTTGGTACTACAAGAAATTGAAGATTACTTAAAGATACACATAAGAGATATAAACATAGTCTATATTTCTAACCTATATACTTACTTATATATACTTACTATTTCTATTCTATCTATATACTTACCTATATACTTAAGTTGGTATTATTTAATAGTATTATTTATTTAAAAATATTACCGCATTAACGTAATTTGATTACTTATTCTATTTGTAAATATAATTTTATTATATAATCTTAATCGATACATTTGAAATATAATTTAAATTGTTTTTCAATTATGTATATTTTAAAAGACAGAATGTATTTGGAAACTGTTGAAGGATTTAATGTATAATATTAGAAAAGAAGAATTAAAACTTAGAAACAGAAATATTTTATTTAACATAATATTTTATCAAGGACTTTGATTAAATTGATTAAATCATAATTGATTAAAAATCATAAATTTTGAAAATTAATTTTCGTACGAAGTATACTCTATATATCAACATTTTATTTTTTATCGTTATTTACTAACGAAGGATTCGAGAATTGAATCTAATAAAAATATGTTTGATACATATGATTTTTTCGATTGAGTCATCAGGATCAAAAACGGAAACTTTAAATTAGCAGATTCTTATTGATATCATAGTGTGATTTGTAAAAATGTAAATATATATAATGTAAAAATGAAAATATAATCTTAAAATTTTAAAAAATCGATCGTTTATTCGATAATAAAATTTTAAATCTTTCAAAAGAATACAAAAAATTTGAAATGCAGAATTAATCTGAATTAAAAAAATTTTTTTTCTTAGTCTCATTTTTTAATCTCAGCTTTTCGATTTCATTTTGTTTTTTGCAATCTTTTTGGATCATTTTAACTTAATGATGGACTGAATTCTGTTTTGTGTATTGATGATTTTTCTTTCGTATCTTAATTCACTCGAACAAGCAAAAGTGAAAAAAAAAATAGTAAGGATGGCGCGATGCACACGTGCATGTAGTTTAGAGCGAAAGAGAAAGTGTATTGAAAAGATAAAATAACTCTTAAAATTTAGGATCTTTTTAAAGCACATGAATAGAGACAAAATAGAATATATCGTGAAAGATTTTTCAAGAATTATATATATTTTAACTAAAAATAATTAATTTGATTCTATTCATAATAAATTAATTTTAGAAATTTTTTGAGTGAAGCGTCTTTCAAATCTTTCTATTTGATCATTTATGTTATTAATTAATTAAACAATATATTTATATTTGTTCAGTCAATTTTAAAAGCTATTTTAACTCTATCTTCGAAGTCAATTCATAGGTTATGATGTTATTAAAATTAAATTCATGCGACAACATAACAATTCAATCAGTAATATGAACTACCAACATTAATATGTAAAACTGTTTGTTGATAGAATAACAACTTCATCTATATTAATTTGATAAAAAGAATTGTATATTTATGATTAAGGTAAACAATAATCAACTTGATATTTCTATAAAAAAATACAAAATAATTAAAGAAATTTTTGTTGGAAATTTGTGCCAATAATATCATCAATAAATTTTATGAATGAATGAATTGGAAATATGCATACTTTTTACCTATTTAAATAATATAAAATACAATCAGCAAAATTGTTTTCTAATGTTTATATTACTATTGAAGAAAATGTATATTGAAAAATACAAAGTAACAGTAAGTAGTAATGAATCCATAAAATAAATTTATTAAATAAATCAATTTCTAGGAGATTAAAATGTATTATAAGAAAAAATTGTTATATTTTGTTTTTTCATAATTAGTATTTTCAATTATATATGCTATACATTTTAATTATTAAATAATAATTAAATAATTAAATAATAAGTAATATATTATGNATTATATATAATAATTATACATATAAATATATAATTCCAAATTCTCATTTATTCTTAATACTTTATTCAATTTTTTCTAATTATTATATTATAATAATTTAATTTAATTAAAATTATTATTTATTTACTAATTTCTTTACATCTTTTGTATTTCTACGATATTAAATAAATATATTTTTTTAATATGTAATATGTAAAAAATATGTTTTTATTAATATGTAAAAAGATATTTTATTTCATTTTATCATAGTAAGTTTTTTTTATTAATATTTCTGTTCTTTATATATAGCATTATTTCATTTTTAGCAGATCTATTTAAAAAGTTAAAAATATGGAAGGTCATTCATATGTTTCATGTATCAAGATTAATGGAATTCCTATTTTACCACCAATGGTATGCATATTAATTATTTTATTATTATTTAAAATTTATTTTATGATTGAATTTATTTTTTTCAGATAACTAAAGATATTAAGCGAGAATTATCTAATTATAAAGAAAGTGCAATAAATATAGAAAAAAAATTGATTATTTCGCGTATTAACAAACAATGTAATAGTAATACTTATATAGAGAAAGTTCAAAAAGAATTGAAAGATATAAAATATAATTATAGTTCAAGAGAAAATTTGAATCCTTTTGAATATGATAATTTTAATGAAAATATTGTTACAGTTGTAAGTGATGTTCCAATAGAAACATTCAAAAGTTCTAATGAAAATCTAGAAAAAACTTTACAGTATGATAAAGATTTAAACTTGAGATGTAAATCTGAAAATCAGATAAATTTAGTTCCTAGTACTGTTTCAAGATCCGAGTCAATAACTTCTAGTAATGATTCAAATACAACAACTTTAATAAAATCTACTACTACAGAAACAATATCAGAAATTTGGAAACCACAAGTGCCTAAAACATTAAATATAATTCCATTGACATTAAATAATGCTAGTCTTAAAGAAAATGAATGTCAAGAAAATGATTTGGATAATTTAGGAGACACTCCTAAATTAGTACGTCAAGGTTCCTATGTGTTAGATACTCCAAGTCCTATATTGTTGGCACATATGCAAATGGAATTAGCTAGTTCAACTTGTGCTCCTTCTTCTGAATATGTTCCAACCTCCTGTACTAATGTGAATCGACGAAAAGAATGGAATGTTGCACAAGCTAAAGTTGAATGGGAATATGAAACTAAAAATAAGGAATCTGTTCCTATTGCAAACTTTTATTCTAATATTGATCATAAAATGTGTAAGTCTGTTTCTTTACAAACAAAGCCTGAATGTTCTTTAGCAACATATTCATCAACAAGATCAGCTGATTGTATTCAGACAATGTTAGCTAAAGAGTATATTGATAAAAGTGATATACAAATTAATCAAGATAAAAAGCATACTATAGATAATAATAATGAAATGAGAAAAAAACTTCAAACATGGAATAAATGTAACAGCACTTTTAATTCATGTAAAATTGGAGGTTCTTTAGAAAATCTAAATGAGCAAAATAATATTTCTACATCTAATAACTTTATGGAGAAACTTTCAAGAAACACAGATATAAAAAATTCTATATCTAGATTAAAATCTACTATTGCATCTGATAAACTTTTAACAGTTTACAAAAAAGTACAAGAAATGCATAAAAAACAAATGGCTGAATTAATGTTTCGTCAACACAGAGAACAAACATTACTTCAAAAGGAATTTGAAAAGCAACAATTACTTTTATTGATTGAAATTAAAAAGTCCTTTCCAGAAGTTTCAGTTTCTTTACTTTCTGAAAATATTTTATCTCCTGCTTTTAATCAAATTATTTCTAATGATAATAAGGTTTTTGAAAATAATAATGATAATATGCAAAATGTAAAAAAAGTAAAAAATAATTTAGAAGAAAAAATAGAATATTCACAAGATCATATGAAAATGATTTCATGCCCATTAAATTATATATATCCTGAAATGAATTATGATAATGCTTCCTATTCTACTAAATATTCATGTATAGTTCAGTCATCAGAAACAGAATTATCCAATATTAATAATTCTATAAAAAAAATGAAAGAAAAAGATGTAGAAATACAGTCAAATGATATAAAAAATCATAAAGAAAAATTATTAGAAGAAACTGAAGATAGTAAACGTTCAAACGTTAGTCGAGAATTATTTCCTTTAGATAGTAAGACTACCCATGTACCAATCCCTGATAGGACAATATATGAAACTAAACATGTAAGAAATTAGTGTTTTATATATTTATCTTCTTAATAGCAATAAATTTATTTTAATGTTACAGATAAAAGCAGCAAATATAATAAATGCATATACAAGAGGATATTTAGTACGTAGAATGATGCAAACTGAACGTGTAATTGCTTTAAAAAATACATATAAAGAAGCTTTACATTGCATGCTTAAACTTCATGTCGATGCACCTCTTAATCGTTCAGAATTTAATTTTTTACATCGTCTTCAATTACAGGTAATATTGATAATAATTTATAAAAAAATATTAATGTCTTTTATAATAAAAAATTTATCTATTAAACTTTTATTTTGTTTTTATTAAAAATTAATTCTTATGTTGTACATATTTGATTTATGAAAATTTAAAAAAATTTAAAAATAATATAATTTTCTTTGTATCAATTAATTTTATAATAATTACAATAATAACATGAAATAAAGCAGACAATTTCTATTTAAAATCTTACATTATTTTAATAATAAAAGATATTTTATTAATAAAATTTATCTTTTCAATATTATTAATAATATTATCAATAAATGGAATGATTATTGATTATTGATTATATTATAAAATATGAAATTTAAAAAAAATATTTATTAAATATTTATTAGAATTTTTTGATTTGTAAAAGTGCGATGCTGCTTCTATGAATATAGTGGAGTTATTTGCCCAAAATCCACAGAAAAGAATGCAAGTAATAGCTCAAGATCGTGAAATTAAACAAACTCGCATAGAGCGTCCTACATCTGCAAGATCATATTCATTTGCAACTCAGCGGACTCTAGCCAGGAAAAAATTGAAGGAGTATGACTCTGCATAGTAAAATTTACATTTTTTTTACAGAAATTCCAATGAATTTTTATGATGTAGAATGTTATGTTATTGAAACAAAATAAATTATTTCATTATTTGCTATTACATATTTGTATTAAATTTAATATTATGACTTTATTGATAAATTAGTTATATCAAATTTACAATTGGAAAATATCAAGTATATTTTATATTCTCAATAATTAGATAACATTTATTTAACAAATTCTGAAATCATATTTTCATTGTACAGTTTTTCATTTTTATATTGTAATAATGTTATCATATTTTTTAATATATTTACATATTTTAATTTATTTATTGTTTCTTTCTTTATTATTAGGATGGAAGAATATCAACCAACTTCGTTTGTTCGTTCATGTTTGTCTAGATCTAGATGTCAAACTTGGACTTCAGATATTAAAGAAAGACTTATTTCTTCAAACATTTTGTGTAAGTTATAATATTAATTACTATAATTAACTTGAAAATTATATACAAGTATATGTATCTGTTTAATTAACTATTATATTTATAATATTTATAATATAATAGTTATTATATTATAATATAATAAAAACTTATATAATTTATAGATCAAAGTATTAAAAGAAGTACTAGTGCCGGAACTGTACGAAAACCATGGCGGTAAATTATAATAGTGCCTTTTATTATTGACTTAGTATATATATATGTACATTTTGTTATATGTAAACAAATCCACTTTGTGCCTGAATTTTGTAATAAATTTGTTTCGTATAAGATAGTGATTTTTATTTGCATAAATCACTTATATAATAAAGAAATTTTAACATTGATTTGATGATTTATTTTTGATTTGAAAAATTTAAAAAAAAAAGAAATAAAAAATAATAACATTCAATTTATTTTATAGTTCGATAATAAAAATAGCAATAGAAATGATAATTCATAGAAATTCAATTTATCCATCACTTTTGCGCATGCGTATACTAGCGCATGCGTATATATGCACGTTGTGTGACGGAACGAATACAGGGTAGTGTGCAGTAACCAGGAGAATATTTTACTTTATTTTGTGATACATTAAGTTGAAATAATAATAATTTATTTTTAGATTAATTATGTTTACAACAATTGTGATTGAGTTTTAACGAAAAAACCATGTGCGATAATGTAAACAACAATCCATTTGCTGGATTGTTTTCAACTATCAACGATGCCGTATCATTCTCGTCTCAGAATCAAACTATTATTAACGAAAATAATAAAGTTAATCATGTTGCACAAATAGAGGATAAAAACATTGACAATATTACGGGAACCATAAATTTTCAAGATTCCAAAGATTCTAAAATCGATAATCAGGTTAACTGCCTTCTTGGTGATATACTTGGTATAACATTACATGGAATTGAAGCAAATGAACATCAAAAACGTAGATTGATTTTCGTTAATGTTGATTCAATCGAACAAGCAGTTTTTGAACGATTAATGTTATCTGATTTAGAATCCAAATTAATACCCATTGAAAATTCTCAACAAATTTTTACTGATTCTCATACAATAGAAAAACAAGTAATACCTTATTTGTTTGAAAGTTATTGTCGATTACAAAAATATCAAAATAAACCAGAATTTTCTAATATTCTTTGTAAAATAAATCAAATTATATTGCAAAATACAAGTGTTGCATTACAGGAACCAGAATTATTTGAAGAACAAAAGGTATGTGTATTTAACAAAGTCAATTATGATAAATTTAAAGAATGCAATTTAATTTTAATTTTAATTTTTATAGATTCACAATCAATTTATTGCACTATGTATGGATGGAACTGAACTCAAATCAGAATTTTTATCATTTATTAATGGTATTGTATTGGAATTACAAACAGAAAATGAGAAAAATGCTACAGATGCAATAGCTGTATCTTTTAATCCTATTCTTGATATAATTTATAAAGAGGCAGCACAAAGTAATCTTGTTCTTTTTCGTCAATATTGGTTTACTATATTAAGTCTTTTTTCTTCAATAGAACCTTTAGCTAAATTATTAATTAATCATAGTACTCCTAAAAATAATCAAGGTCGAGCATATGCAGATACATTATTAGGTGCACTTTTTAGTTTAAGTTGTTTACCAAAAACAATAGAAGAACCATTTTACTTTTTTGAAAAACCATTGCAATTAGTAAGTAAGCTATAAAAAAAATGAATAAAATTATTTATAAAATTTATTTATAAAAGTATTGATTTAATATTTTTTTTTTTTAAGACTTCAGCTACTGTTGAGGGAAATATTTGGACAGTCTTAGATGCATTAAATGAATCATTACAAAAAGTTTTTCATTTATTATTAAAGTGTTCATCAGAAGTTCGTCATTTAACTTTACAATGGATAGGCAATTGTCTTCATTCTAATGCAAATAGGGGGAAAATTTGGAATGCTCAAAATGATGTGAGTTTTAGCTCAATGTTATGTGTCTCTGATGGTTTTATGTTAAATTTAGGAAATGTGCTATTGCGTCTTTGTCAACCATTTTGCATTAAACAAAATGATTCCAAAGTGCCTAAAATTGATCCAACATATTGTGCTGCAGATGTAAGTTAATTTATTATATTATGAATTATTTAAGATTATTTATTAAATTTTAAATAATATAATATTTTATAAAAATTTAGGTTAATGATCAGAATGAATGTATAAATTCAATTATACATTTAAAAGGAATGACTTCAGAAACTTGTTTGATACCAACATCAGAAGGTGGTGCTAGACCAGTAGCAAAGACATTTGGATTTACTACAGAATGCTTTTTTTTAACTCATAGAGCATTAGATCTTGGATATAGAGTAGTATTAGACAAACTTTTAAGGTTTGTAAATCTTTTTATTTGTGTTTAATTAAAATTTATAATAAAAATTAAAAATTTGTAGAACAAATCAAGATTTGGTAAGAATACAGAGAGTATATCAGGATGCTCAAAATGGTGGAAGATCAGAAGTATTTGAAATGATAACTCAACGTATGGAAGAAGAAATGACCAAGTATATATTTTTGAATCATAAAAATAAAAAAAATATTTTTCTTTTTTCTATACAAATGTTATCAAAAAAAATTTATATAGTATAGTTTACATATTTATTACATAATTTATATTTTGAATTTTAGATATTTATCTCTAAGAGCAAGTCTTTTAGTACCAGAAATGTTAAAACTTCTAGCAAAATTTCATGCAACAACAGCATTTTGGTTAGTACAAGTATATTTGAATGAAGTTGGAGAAAATGAACAAAATGATTACATTCCAAAAGAATGTAAAGTGGTAACATTTCCTCTACCAGAAACTGTTCCAGATACTTTAAGGTATCTTTAAGTATTTTTTTTTTTTTAAGCTATAATAATAATTATTTTTAATATTTAATATTATTATTTAACATATAGATGCATTCCTGAATTTGTGGTAGAAAATACCATTCGATTTTTGTATTTATTACGCCGTTTAAATCCAAATATTTTTGAAGAACAAGGATCAGCTTTTCTTACACCTGTACTTACAGAGGTAAGCTAATAATAATATAATATTAAAAAATAAAATTTAATAAAATAATTGGTATATTATATCAGATAATAGTATTAATGGAATCTCAACAACGTTTATATAATCCTCATTTACGTGCTCGTCTGGCAGAAGGTTTAGAAGCTCTTTTACCTACAAGCGATGAAACTATGAGCCCTGTAACACCAAGTTTAGGGACATTCCATAGAGAACAATTATTTATTACACATCCATATAGACAATATGTATGTAATTATCAAAATTCATAAAATAGAATTTTTTTTTTTTTTACATACATAAAAAATTTATTTATTTTTTTATTTATTTATTTTTTTATGTATTATGTATTTAGATTGTTCCGAATTTACTTAAAGTATTTGTAAGCATTGAAATGACTGGACAAAGCGTACAATTTGAACAAAAATTTAATTATCGACGACCAATGTATGTTGTTATGGAATATTTATGGAAACTGCCAGAACATCGTAATAATTTTATGTAAGTAAAGAATAAAGATATACTGTTATTATTACTGATTCATTATTTTTTTTAAATTTTATAATAAAAAATAATTTACCAATTCCAATATGTTAAATAGTATTTTATAATAATTTATTTAAAATATAATTTAATATTTTAAAGTTCTATTTTAAAGTTCTTTAGCTGAAGAAGCAGAAACTAATATGGAAGCAGCTCAACCTCCATTATTTTTGCGTTTTATAAATCTTTTGATGAATGATGCAGTTTTTTTATTAGATGAAGCACTTTCAAGCATGGCTCAATTAAAACAATTGATTCAAGCAAGGTATATATAATTTACTCAATAATATTAATAGATAATTCTAATTTTTAAGTTTTTATAAATTTTATATTTGATAAATAAAATTAATGAAAAATAATTTCAATTAAAAGGGAAAGTGGAGAATGGAATAAACTACCACAACATGAACGTGATCAACAGGCTCATTATCTTTTACATCTTGGAATGATAGCTCGATTTGATAATATATTAGGTAGAAAAACTATATATACATTAAAAATGTTAACTACAGAAATAAAATCCATCTTTTGTCATCCAACAATGGTGGATCGTATTGCTTCAATGCTTAATTATTTATTGCTTCAATTGGTTGGACCAAACAAAAAAAATCTTAAGGTAAAAATCATAATTAAAAATTATGATTTTATAATAATATAATAATATTTATAATAATATTTAATATAATATATATTTAAATTATATAATTTTAAAATTTATGTAAATATAAAGTATTTTAATATAAAATTTTAATTTTTTTAGGTTAATGGTCAAAAAGAATATGCTTTCAATCCAGCAAATTTAGTATTAAATATATGCGAAATTTATATAAATCTTAGTCAAAATGAATCTTTTACGCTTGCTGTTTCGCAAGATGGTCGTTCATATAGTTCAGAACTTTTCAAATTAGCTGACAATGTTCTTGGTAAGTATTTATATCTTTGGTAAGTATTTATATCTAGAAAGTATCAAATATATAAAATAATATTACAATTCATATATAATTTTTATGATTATGATATATTTATGATATATTTTAGTTCGTATCGGTGGCGTGGGTATATTAGGCGATTTAGATCAATTTGCAAAAAATGTAGAAGCAGCTGCAAGTCATAAAAAAGAAGAAGATGAAATTTTAATTGATGCTCCTGATGAATTTCTTGATCCAATTATGTCTACATTAATGACAGATCCTGTCATTCTTCCATCATCAAAGATAACTATAGATCGCCAAACTATCGCAAGGTTAAAATTTCTTTGTTTATTCAAACCATTTTTATATAAAATATGTATGATTATATTACTAATACTATTTAGGCATTTATTAAGTGATCAAACCGATCCCTTTAATCGATCTCCTCTTACTATGGATATGGTAAAATCAAATATTGAACTTCAACATAGAGTACAAGAATGGATTCAACAAAAGAAGCAAGAAAAAACGAGAAATTGCCATTGATCAAAACAGTTGGTAAACTAAAATATATGATTTAAAATATATAATTATATTCAAATTTACTTCTTTATGAATTTTTTAATGAAAACTGGATTTTTATGATTTCAGATAATAAATATAACAAAATATGATCAATGGTAAATTCAGAGTTTTACATTATTTATTAAAATTTCGTTATTTCATAATTTACAGAGTGGTATATATTTTTCTATACAAATCCTTATAGATATGTACAGCTATCTATTATTGTCTATAATTATCATCATTCTATAGAGAATTCTGATATTGCATTTTGTAGAAAGAATTGTTCTACAATAGTGTATGTAATAATGTAATCGTACAGAAAAATATTGTTATTATTGTATAATAAGTGTAAAAAGTATTCGTTATAAAGATTCTTATGCATAACTTAAATGAAATAAGTGTTATAAATGAATTAATAAAGTTAATTTCTACCATAATTAAAATAGTCCCAAATTTCATAAATACATAATGTCCAAATTTAATTTTAACTTTTTAATTGTGAACATATCTAGGTGTTCAATAATAAAAATTATGAGCAGCATTATATTATGAGTAAATGTCTTTTATATTTTCTTCCTAAGAAAGTTTTTTTTATATTTTTTTGCATAAATATTTTACATTAATTTTTCTATAAACATTATTTATTTTATTAATGTATTTTTATGATAATTATTGTTTTAAATAATAATTTTAACTTTAGCTATATACAGTATTTAAAAAATTAAGAATAGTATTAATAAAAAAAATTGATAAAATAATAATTCATTGTTAATTGTAAATTGTAATTCATTAAAAAATGTTTAATTCATATTCAATAATAATTGTTACAATTTTTCAAATATTGTAATGTTTACGAAAAATCTATTTATAAAATAGTGACAAGTTCATTAAAATCAGTAATATACCATAATGATTGCTGTTTGACATTTTCTCTAATTACATTTCCTCCATATCCTGTATAATAAAACTGATATTATAATTAAACATGGTATTAAAAGTTGAATGAAATGAAATAAATTAAATTGAGATACGATATACCTATAAATAAATCTACTATTGAAGTAGTTTCTAAATCTGTTGATCCATCACCAATATGAACAATAGTTTTAAGTTCTTTTTTATTCTTAAGATACTTAATTACTTTTACTTTCCCACCATTTTCTGCAGTAGGTTGATTTTCATCAAATCCTGCATATTCTCCTATAAATAGATTTATAAAGAAACATAAAAATGAAATATATATATATATAATTAATTTTATATTAAAGTAAATAAACAATAACCTGTGTAATAGAATTTAAGTTTATTTGCAAAAATATTCTCTAATGGAATATTAAGTGATGTGGCAATTGGTGCAATTAAAGAATGAAATCCACCAGATATAAAAAATATTTGCTTTTTATGATTTTGTAGTGTTGTTATCAAAGTTCTGAAATTTTCATAAATAATTTTAAAAGAAATAATTTTACTAATTTATTTATGAAAATTTCTTGTCATATTCAATTCATTTCAATTCATATTTTTTCCTACTTAATTCCAGGTGAAAGTTTTATTGGACGAGAAGCCAAAAATTGTTTTATTTGCATAAGATTTGGTTTTATAATATTCAATCTTTCCTCTAAGGATTGTCGAAATGTCATGTCTCCTTGCATGGCTCGATTTGTTCTAAAATCATTTTTATTTATTGAAATCAATTATTCCATATGATATATGAATTATATGAATGAACAAAAATAATGGAAAAAAAATGTTAAATTTTAGAATAGCAAAAAAAAAAAAAAATAAATAAATAGATATGATAAAATAAAAAAGAAAAAACTTACAACGAAATAACATCATTTTCTTTTCCACAAAACTTTGCTAGTTCATCAATTCCTTCTTCTTGTATGACGGTCGAATCAACATCAAAAGTTATCGCATCTGCATTTTTCCATATAGATCTTAATTCGTTTAAATTTGCCATTTATTTTGTGCAATATAAAATAATATACTAAAATTATAAATTTTTTCGTATTAAACGCAGATAATAATTAAACTTTTTTTTATCTTTATAAACTGTAACATTAAACAAAAGATACATAATAACTAATGTATGCACTTATATGTATATATATATATTTACTATAGTAGAGCAATGTTAATCACTAATCATAAGAAATTTTTATTTATATTTATTTTGCAATCTTATTAATAAATAATATATTATTTAAAAAATTTACAATTATAAAAAAAATTGTATTTGTATTTATTAAAAATATAATTTTTTAAGGTTAAGATATCATTATATAATACAATTAGTTAGAAAATATATTTAAAAAATTAATAATAAAAGAAGTATATGATATTTTTTACTTTTCTTATTATTATATTATTGTAGTATTATCGTAATAAAAAATAAAGATTAAAAAAACAATCAATGATTTATTTAAAAATAATTTATTTTTTTTTTAAATAATAAATTTAATATATATTAAATTTACTTATATTTAATTTTTAAAGTGAAAAAAAGAAGAAAAATATAAATTGAATTTTAAATTATGTTTATATTTTTTTTCACTTATAAATAATATTTGAAAATAAATAATATTAAGATATAATGGATAATAATAATAATGGATAAATTAAAGTTTTTGAATGGAATAGAAGTGAAAAAAAATTATCAATTATTGCCATTAGAAATATCAGAAATTAATATAATATAATTTTTAATTAATTTAGGATAACATGAAATTAGAGTAACATAGATAAATTAATCTTTAATAAAATAAAATTGAAAAAAAGATTATCGATTATTATAATTATTGTCAAAAAATTAAAATTTTCAATAAGAAAATAAAGAAGGAAATACTAGTTAACATCAAACATAAATGAAATATAACATACAATACAGATGATGTATGTATGAGATAAATATATATATAGACATATATACATAGGCCAGAGTCATATGATGTCAAAAAATGGATGTCAAAAAATGTTATATCTATTTGTTATATTCATCGCATTTTTGTAGCAGAGCAAAAGAAAATAAATAAATAAAAAGTAAAAAATGACTAATATAAAAAAAATAATTAAAAATTTGAAAATGAGTACTATCTTGATTAGAATTATTTGTAAAATATGTATTGTCACATGAAATAAAAAAACAAAAAAATAAATAATAAAAGAAGAATAAAGATAAACTAAAAAATGATTATTAGCGCCATCTCTTGAATGTCAAAGAAAATCTCTTTAAAAATAAAATAAAGTAAAATAATAATTTCGAATAAAAATATTTAAAAACTCAAGAAATGATGTTAATTTTCAATTTTTTTCAGCTTTATATAATATATCTTAAGATAATTTTAAGATAATAAAATAATATTTCTCATATGACACTATTTTATGATATTGTAATATTATAATATTATTATAATATTTTATGATAGATTTATACATATTGTGAATTTGATCATTCAGTAATAGTCAGAAATATACAAATATCTAAATTCTAAGAATAAATTCATAGAATATCAAATAATAGGATATTAATATCATATGATTTTAATTAATTAAAACCTATGATTTTTCAAGCACAAGTTTTAAAAAAGGATTAATTTATAAACTATTTCTATAGTTCAATATTTAAAATGTGTATATAAAATATATTTGCTTTTTGATATTATAATATACATATATCTTATAGTATTTTACTATTTAAATCTTTAATTTATAATTACATTATATATAAATGATTTTTAAAGTATTTGAAACAGTTAAATTGTAAATATTATTTTGGAAAACATTAAATTAAAAAAATTTTAAAAAATATAATTTTATTTTTGAGTTTACAATATATTAATTTTTATCATATGACTAATTTATAAATTAATATCATATAATCGATTCAAAATAGACTATAGAAATCTATTTTTCTATATCTAATCTATGTTTATAATTTTATTTTGAAATTTAGTTTCAATTCTAACTATTATTAATATTGCAATTTTATTCTAAATCAAATCGATAATGTTGAAAATGATACTAAAATGGTAAAAAGATTTTAGTGTTCTTGAGATACGAAACAAAAAAATATATTGAAGGAAATCATAGATTCATACAGGATATTTATAATAATAGATAAATATTAAGAGTATGTACTTATTAGAATTTAGAATTAAAACTAATTAATATAAAATTAATTAATAAAATAATTATAAAAAATCATTATTAAAAATTAATTGAAACTAATTATAAATAATTAAAACACTTATATTAGAAATTTTATATTTCTAATAATTATTTTCTATATTTATAGTAATTTATAGTTGTTTCGAATAAAATGTTATATTAAAAATAATGATCATATTGCTATTAAGATCGGTGAACAAACATGATGAAAAAATGAAAAAGAGTAATTTGAGATCATATCTAATAAAATTAATAATGATATATACTATTTAATATTCATATGATATTGGGGTGAATGAACGAGCGCGCGCGCACTCACATTCACGCTGTGATCGCAGACGATCGAAAAATACTGAGGGCAGTCAGTCGCGAGCTTTACGTTTCATCGGATGATCATTACTAGTAATGTGAATTTTTACGATTGTGTCGAAAACAATGATTTTTCAAAGAATTCTCTTAATTCGAATTGAAAAAAATAAAAATATCAGAAAAAATTAAATTAAATTAAATTGAAACGTATGTTATTTTAAAATAATAGAAAATACATAAAGAAATACGTATACATAAAAAAAAAAATTAACAAGAGCAAGGGAAAAAAGGGAAAAGAGAAGGAAAAAGGAATGAAAAAAAGCGTGGAGCAATTTTGAACGCAGGAAGAACGTATACGAATAGGAAGAGATAGAGATGCAGCATTTTTATATAATTATTCGTTTATTTTTATTCGTTCTAATTTATCAATTGATGAAGATCAATGGAGAGAAAATAGAAAAAAGAAAGAATTCATGTTATCCATTTCCTGGTATTATTTTAGATCAAAATAAAATTAATAAATTCGAGAATGGAAGTATAGTGTACAATAAATTAGTGTATCCTGCTGAATCATATCAAGTATTTGGAAATAAAACATATGGATGTATATGTAATTTACAATCATGCTTGAGAAAATGTTGTAAACGAAACGAGATTCTAGGGGAAGGTATTCGACCTAATTGTACTCGCCTATCAAGTGAATCACTTATTCAGAAATCTCTCATTCTCGAACGAAACCAACTTGCAGCTGAAATCCAAGAAATATCTAGATTAAGCGATCAGTTTTTTCTGATAGAGGATATGCAATGTTCCAAAAATTTAAGCAAACTTCTACTCGAACCAGAAAATATCGAAGAAGATGCATATGTGTTGCAAGCAAATGGTATTCTTCAAACTTCCAATGGTGATAAATATGAAGCTTGGAATTATTGCCTTGATTGGAAAGAACCTTCCAAAAAAATTGCT